GAGCACCCGATGAAACACATGGCACAGAGGCAGCGGCGGTACCAGATGGAGATGAACCATTTCCTGAAGCCGAGGCACTTGGGGAAGATCCAACTGGGACGATCGATGCACCACTGAGTTCTCCGGTGCTTGTTTGAGCTGGGGTAGAAGCGGAAACTGGGCAAGCGATTTGACCAGAGAGAAGGGCACCCGATGAAACACATGGCACAGAGGCAGCGGCGGTGTTAGATGGGGATGTACCATTTCCTGAACCCGAGGCACTTGGAGAAGAGCTTTTTCCTGAACCTGAAGCACTTGGGGAAGATCCAACTGGGACGGTTGATGCGCCACTAAGTTTTCCGGTGCTAGTTTGAGCGGGAGCAGAAGCGGTGGCACTTCCAGAACCAATCACAGCAGATGAAGGGGAGCTAGCAAGTTCGGTTGACAATGCAGATGAAATGGATGCCAAATCAGTGCTTGGTGTTCCATTTCCAGCAGGGACAGAGATGGATGATGGAGCTGGGACGTCAAATGTTGATGTGATTGTGGTGGCAACCGGGGTAAGAGTAATCGTACCCGTAATCGATGATGGTTGAACCTTTGTAGTAGCCTTGGCAGAAACTGATGGCAAGCTTGAAGAAACGGAACCAGATGCAGTTGAACCGGCTTCAGCAATTGGGCAAATGGTGGTGTAATCAACGACAGTTTGGGTAACAACGATGGTAGATGCAAGGGTTGCTGGGCAATGAAGAACGTTGGCGGCACAGCTAGTAATTGTTGTGACTTGAGTTGCGTAGACAGTAGATGTGGTCAATGATGGACTTGAGGTGATTGTACCAATCAAGGAGCCTGTGGCGGAAGCACCGGATGATCCAGAAGCAGTTGGGATAGTTCCGTTTGAGAAACTTCCTGTTCCAGATGGGCTTGATTTGATAGAAGCTTGGTTGGCGAATGGAGCAGAGATGGTTTTGACACCAGAGCTTGAATCTGAGCCAGAGCCTGAGCCAGAGCCTGAACCGCCGAGACCGATAGATGCTGAGACTGATCCAGATCCAGATCCAGATCCTGATCCTGATCCCAAACCAACAGAGGCAGACACAGTAGCGGCAGCACCACCGGCACCCAAAGCACGAGTAGAAGTTGGTCTACTTGTACAAATATCAACAAGAGCAGCAACGTTCAAAGTAACAGCGGCAGTTGGGGCAATCTCGAAAGCGGCGAAATCAATCAAGGCAACGGCAGCAGCATATGCACCAATGTTGACATTGACCGAACCAGAGATGGAAAGTGGACAATCGTCAGTGCTACCAATCTCGGTGACGTATTGAAGAAGATCGGCGTAGACACCAAGTTCGAAGCCATATCCAATACCCAAAAGAGAGACGGTAGTACCAGCCTCAACTCTGCAGCGAATAGCAGCTTGCAACTTAGCCTCACCAGCAAGAACAATGATAGGAAGGTCGTTCATAACGGCTCCACCGAAATCATGGTTCAAGATAGCACCGGCCAAGAGGTCAACAGTAAGGGAAGCACCTTCTGGGAAGGAGAATTCAAAACCAGCAGAGAGATCGACTTCGGCATCGACGGAGATAATCAAGTCGAGGAAGAGGTTTAGACCAACGGAAACAGTATCGAGAAGAGAGACATCAGCAATGAGACCAGCTTCGAAAATGTTAAGAGTATAAGTGGATGCTTCAGCGGCGAAGACATCAAGTTCGATGTGTCCTCCAACGTCCTCCAAAGAGATCAAAACTTCCAAGCTTGCAGCCTCGAGAATGGTTTCGAAAGGATGCGCCAAGAATTCAATGACTTCCTCAATGATATTGGTTGAAATTTCGGCGACGGTGTTGGTGACGACGGCTGTACCCCATGTTCGACAATCAACACACTTGATTTGACATCCTGCTGCACTTCCAAAGCTGATTCCGACATCCAAACCAAGACCGAGGTCGAGGAGACCGAAAACATCTAATGCGGCACTGACTCCACTATAAATATGTTAGCAAAAAGGAGATAACGCAGTGTGATCTTCGGTGGTCCTTACGTATCTAACAAAACCTCGTTTTGCTTTGAGTAACCAATGTCATGGCTGCAAATCTGCTTGTGGGATGTTCTAGCAGCAATTCCGATATCGACAATATCGATGTGATCGGAATTAATGCGATCGGCATAACGTTCAGGTGCGTAAGCTGGAGGGTATGCTGCAACGTTTGTAGCGAGGACAGCCCCCATGAAGGCCGTCCCGAGAGTCGATGAAAACATAACTGATAAAAATTAAAATGAACAAAAATGAATGTATTTAATGCGAGAAAGAACAAAAATGATTGTAATAGCCCTGAGGACCTTTCGTAAAGAGAGTGGTATGGAATGCAAAGCAAGCTTGAGAAGGAAAAGAATCTTGGAGAGAAGAACATCTTTTAAAGAAGACGACCTCCTCGTTCTGACCCCTGAAATTAGAAGTAGTGTAGAAGCTATCAGGCTGATCATCTCGAATGAGAGAAATACATCTGCTTTCCGAAATGAAAGTGTCTTTCCTGTATCCCCTGTCCCGTGCTTGGCCAAGGAACATCTTCTCCATATTGAGTACAAAAATATGGGGTACCTTCGGACGAAGTTCTGGGCCATCGAAACACTTGATCTCTCGAGTCTCAAGGGCTTCATCTGATAGTCTTTGGGATGAAAAACAAGATCACTGTGGATACACCACCAAGCACGAATGTACCAAAGCACACAATACAAGTTGGACAATGACTTTGTGAGGGAAGGCTCGAAGGAAACAGGGGGAATAAACACTGGGAAACTTTAATTTTGACCCTTCAAAGTTCAGACCCAACAAAGACGTTCATTATTAGAACATTATTGATCGTCGTCCGAGCACGAGCCATACACGCACTTGGAATATTAGCAAAACTCGTAAACTCCTATACTATACTGTATAAAGTTGGTAGTGGGTCGACACGTCCCCTCGAGAAGAAGTTTGGTGTTTCGTGTCTTAGATCAAAAGATTCCAGGCTCGAAGAAACAAGGAGTAAACAGTATCTAGCGTAAACAATAGCTTACAAACTGCATCGATATGCCGAGAAATGGCCCCGAAAGAAGAAGCGCTGGCCTCTGAGAACGGGTTAAAGCGTTGAAGAGGGTGTCCGAGAGCTATTAGCAAGGGGCGAAGCTCATCTGATTGTTTATGCATCCAATCCTCAGAAATGGTTATTCTTTTCATGAACCAGTACCGGTAGTTAGAATTAACTGATGGTTGGATACTTTTCATCAAATCTAATTTACCTCTCCATCGAGGCAATTGGTAAGTGAAAAGTTTAAGAATAGAAATGACTTCCCAATTGGTAACCTAGTCGTCACCTCCTGAATCAAATTAGGACGAATTGTGATGTTGTCATAATATTTGAGATCTGCAACTTTATCGTCCCACTCATGACTCGGCAAAGCACAAACCTCGCTAATTTGTTTTAGCGTACCAGTCAAACGAAATTGCCGCGAGTTAGTGAAAGGCTAAAAGCTATTCTCAGCCTCGCATTGACGCAGACTGAGCACAGCTCTAGAATTGTCACTTTTGATAAGTTCATAACTTCATCTTCATAAATATCGGAACCGATTAATCAAGCATACGCGAACGACGAAAATTAGCACAGCCGGGTGGATTTACTGGGATATTGAAATACGATTTATTGCGGCTCTCAAACGGCATCCACCGGATTTCTTCCATATTCAGTAGCCCTCCAAATTTATCAGCCTCCCCTATCACAGCCCACTACTCATCATGTCCCTCTCCTCCTACCTAGCCAAAAACTACCTCACCGCCTCCACCTCCTCTTCCAGCACACCTAAAAAGCGCAAACGTAAGGCTGCACTCCAAACCGGCCTCACAATCGCTGATGACGATGCCCCTGGTTGGTCCAATCCTCAAGATAATATCTCCGATGACGAGACTCCCATGATATCTGCCTCCTCTTCCGAATTCCGCAAATCAAAGAAATCAGCCTGGAAAACCGTCGGTGTGCCGGCTCTACAACCGCCAAATGAAGATAATGCAGAAGCAGATAGAATAATACAGCAAGCTGCTGCAGAGAACTCAGCTGCGCTTCACCAGGATGAAGAGCCCACGATAGAAGAAAGCCGCGGCGGACTCCAAACCGCCGATGCGACATCTGCACAATTTGAAAAGCGCAAACGGGACGAAGCTGCACAGTGGGCGCGGGAATCTGCAAATAATGGATCTAGCAAGAATAAGCACAAGGGAGAAGAAACAGTATATCGAGATGCAACAGGTCGACGAATCGACATCAGTATGCGCCGCTCGGAAGCCAAGAAAGAAATGGATGAGAAAGCTCGAAAGGAATTGGAAGAGATAGAGGCGCAAAAAGGTGATGTGCAATTGATGGCCAAAGCAAAGAGGAGAGAAGATTTAGATGAAGCACGGTTTATGCCGCTGGCTAGGGGAGTGGATGATGTAGAGATGAATGAGGAGTTAAAGGAGGTCGATCGGTGGAATGATCCCGCGATGCAGTTTTTGAGCAAAGAGAAGAAGGGGAAGAGTAGGACGGGCAAACCGTTATATCAAGGTGCCGCGGCGCCGAATCGATATGGAATACGTCCGGGTCATCGGTGGGATGGCGTGGATAGGGGGAATGGGTGGGAGGCGGAGAGGTTTAAAGGGGAGAACAGGAGGGTGCGGAATAAGGATTTGGATTTTCAGTGGCAGATGGATACTTGAGTTAAAGCTTTCCAAGAACATTAATAATAATCTTCCTCAAATAATGATTACAATCACGGTATAGACATGACATTCATTTGATTCTGCATATTCTCATTTCTTCCCTGTGTAGGTACTGTAGCCAAACTATTATGATATCTGAAAACATCAGGAAATCTATGCGCACATGGCCTAGTAGACCTCATGTGCATGTACCGTGAGAACCCTTCTGCCCGTCGCAACTGGTATTCGTAATAACATCATCCTCCCAATTACGAAAGATATCTTCGCCTACTTCCCCCTGAATCGTAATGCTTTTGTACCAAATTTGTTTCGTTTTACCAATCGCGATGACTGCACTTGCCTCTCATTCGTATCACAAAAGACCCTCGTAAGGTGTTAGTTGAATCTTCCCCCGATCCACAATCAAATTCCTTCCACGATTATATTTGACCATCAAACCCCTTCCTGTACAATCCATCAAGCGCACGAAACACTCTGCTCTCTAAAACTTTGGTCGCAAGAGTTTATCAGTTCCATATTTGGAATTTCTTTTGATCATTGCCATGAATTCCGTTTTTGTGGTCTGTCCTTCAGCGTCGCCAACTCTACCACGGAAGTGTCCGAGTAATTGACCAATGGAGATACCTGTCGAAGGCAGAGCAGCTATGATTTCTTTAGGCTGAATTGTTCCGGAACCAGATGGTGCTGCAGTTTCTACAATAAAATTATTAGTACATCCTATTTCTTTCGAAGAAGATAAAGAAAGTAAATGCTGAAAATATTTTTCCTTACCAGCTGCTTGAGCAGGGCTACCACCACGACTACCGTTAGATCTACCTGGCGCTGGACTACCAGGTTGTGAAGCTGTTGGTGATCCTCCCATACGAATAGTAATCTTTTTCTTCTTTCCACCGGCTCCGTCTGACATTTCGCCTCCTGTAGCTTCTCCGTCGCTTGTGGCACCTTGCGGGTTTGGTGGCATAGAACTGATTCTTGAAAGTTCGGATGGATTTACAGAGATCTTGACGATGGAAGATTTTCTCTGGGCTTGACCTGGAGGGGGTTGTGAGGACGGTGTTGGAGACATAGGCCTGGAACCTGGAATTGGAGTAGATGTACCCGTAGGTTGCGATGAACCGATATGCTTTTTCTTATGCTTCTTCCTGGTAGATTCATTTCCACTGGATTCCGATAGATTTGGAGATCCTGGTCTCTTGAGGCTCTTGGATTTTTTCATAGGATCAGTGTGCTTAGGTCGACCAGAAGGTGTGTTGTTGCCCTTCGATGTAGTGCCCGAAGGTTTTGCTTCGGCCTTTAACTTGGCTTTGGCCTCTTCATCCTTTTTCTTGTCGATCTCCTTTTGCTTCTCCTCATCGGAGGTATCATCTTCGCTCTTTTTATTATTAGTAAGTAGACAAAGCAGATTCGCAATATACATACATCTGAAGAAGCATATGGATTGCTAGAGTCACTGTCGTAAATGAAGTTCTTCTCGCGCTTGGTCAAAGCCTTTCGGACACCCTTTCCTAGCTTTTTCTTTGCCTCTGTTTCTTGCTCCTCTTGAAGGAAGTCTTTCTCAACGGACTCTTCATCGGCTTCACCAAACAAGTTTGCTCCACGTTGATCCTGCTTGATTCTCTCTTGGGCATCCTTTGTGTCTTCATCTCGATCTGGCTCAACTGTGGCAAGCTCATCGTCATCCTGGAATAAATCATCAGCATCGAAATCAAGTTCATCAATATCTCGTGTTTCGTTCTTGCTTGATCCTTTGAAACTAGTACTCTCGGTCTTGACAGTGTACAATTTGTTTAATCCCCTAATATTTTCCTGATTTGCACGCGTTGCTTCGTTTTTCTCATGTGTCTTCATGGCCCATCTGGATTCTTTGGTCTTCTTATTCAACATAGCTTCAGCTTCATCAATTGTAAGAGTATTGAACTTGTTTTTTGAAGTGAACTTGTACCACTTTTCGACCGGGATCATCTTGAAAGAGCTTCCTTCGGTGAAGAACATGACATTAACTTCCGACAAGGCACTCTCATAATTACCGACCCAGATATTTTTATTGTCAGCATCTTCCAGGTGCCAAGGTAAAGCCTCCTCATATCTAAGATCAGACTCTTTCTTTTGCTCTGCTGTCTTATCCAGGCGATGCACTTGAGTAGTCTTTTCATTCCGGAAGGATTGGGCTTTTCTTGCAGCCAGTGCTGTAGCGTTATTGCCAGTAGGTGCTATCTGTGCACGATCCGAAGCCTTTTGCGCTTCTTTCTCGGCCTTCAATATTTCTTGTCTCTCTCTCTCTTTGGAATCGACCGAATCCTCCATTACCGTATCTTCGTCCTTGAATGCTTTACCAGATGGTGGTTGTCGAGGGTCTCTGCGATGGAGAGCAATTGGTCGCGTAAATTCGTCCTGATTCGTAGGGTCAACCTCTTTCTTTCCAGCAAATCTCATGGCATGATATCGCATTCCATCGCGCAAAGCCCGCCTAGTGGTGAAAAGAGGGTAATCTGTGACTTCGCCCTTGGGAGGATGTGTCCAACCATCATATGTTTGTCTAGGCGCAACATTGCCGTTATTAGGAATTGGACCTCTCGGACCTGGTGCTCGTGGACCGGAAAAGCTGTTTAGTGATGTAGGTCCGTTTGGTCTGGCGGGCGTCAAGCCATTTAAATTCGCGCCGGCAGGTTTAGAAGGCACATTTGGTCTGCGGATGGGTTTCTTTCGCGGTCTCAGAGGATCAGCAGCCTTGAGTCTGCGTGTAAATTGTGGTGCGCCGCCACTGTTAGGCGTGGGTGTAGGAGTTCGTCCATTTGACATGCCAGATGGTGAAGCGGACATTATGAATTGTTTTTTTGTAAATACCGGAATAAGTTGTCGAATTGAGAAGAAAGAATTCTGTTCATTCGCAAGAGCTGAAAAGAGCCCGTATCTTTTATTCTCCAGGGTCGTACTCATATGCTATCTATCCTGTTCACGATATCTTTAGGGGGAAGGTATCGGTTTGATGGAAGTTTCTGCTTCCCGTGTATCTCTGTGTGGTAGTTGATTTGTTCTTTGTTGTTGTTACAAATGGTTGTTTTGTAAATTGCCTTTATGTGGGTTGAACTGATTGACTTTTGAACTGTTTCTGCCTATCCAGGATACAAGTCGGTGCAATGACAAGAGACAAAGTACACTAGTCCAAATAGGGTATCGCGGCAGCCGTATCGGTAATCCTTGTCACAAACACGTGCAGGGTGAGGGGGAACAAGCAAACGAAAAAGCCAAAGCTTATTATTGTTTGCCATGACAGACAAACTTGAAGGTTTGGATATCACCCAGACCATATTCCATTCATTCACTTACTGTAATGGAGATCTAAATTGTTTCTTCATCATACTCATACATAACATCTCAACTTCCAACTTCAATCATCCCAAAGAGAACAGAAGGACAATTATTCAAGATCTCCATTATACAAAAACATATTGACTCTAGGTTTACCAACCAACCACATATTTCATCTCAATTCACCATCAATAGCTTATGATTACGATTCTTTCTCGTGTCAATTCAGCTTTTCTTCTGATTGGTTTCATTGATTTCTTATTCATGACAAACAACTGAGATCCATCATTACATGATCTGTCACCATTGATAAGGTATCAATCACTTTCAGAATCACTCTACTACCGAAGTTGTTGTTACTGTTGGGAGATAGTGAACATCATATCCATCTTTAATATTAAATGCATGGTTGCTTTGTGCAAATCTCGAGGAATTCATTTTGTTATACATTTAGAAGGATGGTTCCAGTAGGGCAAGAACAAGCTGACCACCTGCCTCAAGGAGGTTCTGGTGGAAATGAACTTGAAGATCGTCTCCGAGGTCTCATACTTAACAACGTCAATGTCATCACGAATAATGAGGACATCAATATGCATCCACCGACTGCAAGCACTACTGCTATTCCTCGCCTACCACCACACATGCTCACAGCCAGCCCATCTGAGCAGCAGGAATACCTGTCCAGTGTGGCTGCCAGAGCTGCTGTGGCATTACAGACCGTTCCCAACGACAGTGCTCCATTGTCTCCACAGACTGGAAAGAAGAGAATGAATCAAGCACAAAGACGACAAATGAACTCTCAACTCTCAATTCCGATTGACATGAAACAACCGCAACAGCAGCAACAGCGCCCGAGCCCATCACCCCGAAACCACACACCTTATTTAGGACAGCAGCAGCCAACACCATCTGCACCTCAATACTACAACAACAATCACAGGAACAACCAAAGCCAACAATATATGCAACAACCGCAACGGCAGCCACCGCAGCAACAATTCCCCCCCCGCTTCTCACATCAAACGCCCAACTCTCCCCATATCCCTCAGATGGCGTATCCAGGTTGTTTTCGGTTGGGAGAGCATCCAAATCAAGCAAGTCCGAACCTTCCATTTCAAAAGCCAATTTACACCCAGCAACAAAAATCACACTCTTGGCAAAATTTGAATCAAACAAGCCCCGGGTCCGGTTCATTCGCTCCAAGACCTCTTCCACAAAATCGGCAACTATATCAGCCAGGTCCTTCGGCTCTTGGTGGCCAGGGATGGAGAAGGTTTGGTTTGACCGCTGAAGAATTGGCCGGCCAAAGCGCATTCTTGGACAAATTGGCCGAAGAATGTGTTCCGAAAGTGATGATTGACACCGATGAGGCAAATAAGAAAGAGGAGTTCCGAGCTCATATTGAAAATATTTGCAAAGCAGCAATTACGGAGCATGAGCAAGAAGAGCTCGGCAACAAAAGCTTTGATGCTTCGACTGTCGAATTGAAATGCTACGGAAGTTTGAGCTCGGGCTTTGCAACTAAGGGCTCTGACATGGATCTTGCAATACTTACACCATTCTCCAATCCATCTGCGGAGTCGTCGGAATCCCAAATACCACGTTTGTTGGAGAAAAGGTTGCTGAGCCTTGGCTATGGCGCACGACTACTCACTAGAACAAGAGTTCCTATCATCAAGCTTTGCGAGAAACCGCTGCAAGGGTTAATGACTGATCTTTTGAAGGAACGTAAGAAATGGGAGAACGGCTTGGTTGAAGGTCAAGATCATGATGAGGCAGACGAAAAGCACTGGGCAGATCATACAACAAAGTCCCCAGAACCAATCTCAATTGACGCAGACTCGAAAGACAAACCCTTGACCAAGACTACGAGCAACACAAGCAAAGCCGGTAAAAAAGGAGAAGCACAAACGGCTGAGAAGGAAGCAGTTGCCTTGAAGCAAGAGGAGCATCAGAATCTTGATGACTACCATGTTTGCGCCAGACGTGCTTTGAACAAACATGGCGGGCGCGATTTATCTATAAACTCCAACGAGCTCAGTATGAAAGAGGTGAAAATTCTCAATGAAGTTTGTCGAGCTTTCATACTTGGATTGTACTCTGAGGACTTATCTAATCGTCTATCTAACTATGCATCTATCTCTCCATTATTTGATCCTTCCGTACCTTTTTACCAACAATCTCTTAACGTGATTTACACACAGATTGAGGGAGAGAAAATAGCCATGGCATGGGAGAAACGGTCATTGTTGGAAGCAACCGATAGACTAGAGTCGGAAGCTCTCGCCGTTCTCGAGACATGGAAGGTCCTGCAGAACAAAACAGGGCCACTCACCGAGTGGGCATCCTATCATAAACAATTGCACGCCGCTTCAAATTCACTTAAGAAAATCAAATCTTTGCAGTTCTTACGTTTCGAGCAAATAATGTTTGAGAGCCCACAACAATATCTTGCGAGAATCGAGAGACTCAAGGGAGACCTCGAAGGCAGGGGATTGCCCCAAAATTATATCCGTCGGCGCAACTTGACGGAAAAAGAAGTTGTCACTCAGTTTGTGAAGCATTACATTGATGGTATTCGTGATATTCAGATTCGAAAGGTCTTGCAAGGCATGGGTGGAATTGCGACATTGGAAGATGCAGCTCGCCGACATCAAATTTTGCAACTTGTGAAAGATTATGAACACGCTCTTGAGGCCAATCTCTACGATGAGAATTCCAATGCTCATGTTGAACAATACATCCCGATATTGCGAGACCTAGCCAATAAGCAGTTTTCTGTTGATTCTTCGCAAACGGAGCTGGTGACCCTAATGTGCACTCTTCCTGATCCGACAAAAATATCACTCAATAAACCGCGAGACCGATTTAAGGATTATCTTGAATATCCTAAGGACAAGGTTGGAATCCAATGCGATATCAATTTTTCAAGTCATATGGCCTTGCATAACACATTACTTCTCAGGATGTACTCTGTTTGTGATCCGAGAGTCAAGGTGGTGGTACTATTCGTGAAACATTGGGCAAAGACTCGCAGAATCAACACACCATATCGAGGTACTCTCGGTAGCTATGGCTATGTACTGATGGTCTTACACTACTTGATGAATATTGCTCAACCTCCGGTCGTGCCCAATCTTCAACACATGAACAAAGAGCCGCCTGCCCATCTTTCTCCTGCCGAAAAGAAAGCTCAGACTACTTGTGATGGTAAAGATGTGAGGTTTTGGAGAGATGAAGCGGAGATCAGATCTTTGGCGGAGCGAAAAATGTTAACACACAACCAAGACTCGGTAGGTACGTTGCTCCGGGGATTCTTCGAATACTTTGCACAAAGTGCACAGATGACAACCGTCCAAGGAGTCAGGGGATTTGACTGGGGTCGTGACGTTTTGAGTTTACGATCAAATTATGGTATCCTTACCAAAGAGGAAAAGGAATGGGTCGGTGCAAGAACAGTCATTGAGACTACACAAATCGCAGCTCCTCCCACACCTACAGTACCGGCATTTGCGACTCCAGCACCTCCCAAACCAACTGGAGAGGATACTGACAATTTATCTTTGGAGCCAGAACCTAAATTTGCAAAGCAGCCTCCCAGGACCAAGGAAGAAACTAAAGAGGTTCGTCATCGATATCTTTTGGCAATCGAGGATCCATTTGAAATAGAGCACAATATCGCACGTACTGTGACTCACAATGGAATTGTATCAATCCGAGACGAATTCAGACGTGCGTGGGGTATTATAAGAACTCTCGGAACTAGTCAGCAAAACAAAAAACATGGGCTTTTGGATTCAGTTCCTGATTCCAGCGATTTCAAAGCTGAATGGCCAATGTTACTACATACGATTCACGGATGAGAAAAGAATGGAGTTGTGGCTGGAGATGTTTAAGGGTGCGTGCTATGGGAGACATGGAAATGCCAGGCCATGTCAGATGAAGGACGGGAAAACTGGAGCAACTGAAGCAACTGAAGCACTTGGTGTTGTTGAGGAAGATGTATCATTGTATGAATAGAAGATGGATGGGATTAACTCTTGCAAATGAACCAAATCAACACGCATGATAGTTGGCGATTATCGATACTTCTTTAGCTGAGCTTTTGATTGTCTATTACACGTGAATAATCCAAGCGGATTGAGGCCCTGCATTTGGCAAAGAAGCCAAGCTCTCTTAAGAAACTTTTGCATTATAATTATTGTTTCTGTATTTCCCCGCATACTGGAAGCTCCAGCGATTCGAAACGTCTTTTAATTCAAATCAACAAAACAAACTGTTGGAATCATACAGGCATGTTTTTGTACACCCATGTATTATTACTTGCGCACAAGCGGACGTTTTCCCCACGAAAAGGGAAATCCCCCCCCACAGGCACCTGTAATTTCTCCAGGATTACTCCAGGATAACACAAACTAGTGAGCGCGTAGCATCCCCATTGGAACGCCACATATATATGCAAGAACATAATGAAGATGGATTGGTGCATTTATTATTTCGATCATTTCCGTGTGGAAGTGAACCTTTGGTAACGGTGTGAAGATCATACGGCGCAGCAGACCATAGCTGCCAAACTCCCTTTAAGACTGGAGAAGAAAGTAGTACATGTACGTTTCAATCCCCTAGATCGACGTTACACTTGATTGTCGGTCGTGTCTTGTGTCCGTTATACCTTTGTATATTCTCCTTACTATTACTTTGCAAAAGAAGTTGATAGAGGGAGGGCGAACTCGCTTCAACTGCGCCTATCATCTCATCACTAGAGATTCCAATCAACATTTGCGAATAGGGGCAAGATGGGTCTCTTCAATACAAGTTCGAAGAGATGGTACAACTGGTTAGTACCACCCCAAAAACTTTGGATTAATAAGTAGAAAGTCTAATTCGTCTTTAGGTACATCTCTATGGTGGCCGCAGCCTGTATGGTGTTGTACGGTTATGATGCCTCTGTCTTCAACGCGTGTCAAAACTCCAAACACTGGGTTGCATACTTCAATAATCCTGTAAGAATTGTCAACACTTCCTAAATATAACGGACCTGAAGTTAACACTATCCAGAGTACATATACCCTCGGTCTCGTCAACACATCTTACAATATCGGTGGTATCGTGTCTGGATTTTTCTTTGGTGGACCAATCGTACGTGCGCTACCTCTCAGTAACGTATATTCAGATGCTAACATGATTCTAGGCCGATAAGCTCGGACGAAGATGGGGAATGGGCATTGGTTGTTTTCTGACCATTATTGCCACATTCGTCCAATGTTTCGCGCCAAGAGGAAACCTGAATGCATTCATTGGAGGTCGTGTCATCATTGGTCTTGGGCAGGGAATTGCTCTAAGTTCGTACCTCCATCTCTCCACACATTCGCTGTACCCCTCCCTAACAGCTATATAGCTGCTGGACCAGTTTACATTGGTGAACTTGCACCACCCGAAATTCGCGGCAAGATCATGGGATTTTGGCAGTTGTTCTATTCAGTTGGCTCTTTCATCGCTTACTGGATTGCATTTGCCACCGGTAAACATACTGCCGCTCTAGGGGATTGGGATTGGAAAACCATCGTCATTTTCCAAATGCTAGTTCCTATCATCATCTGCGCCCTTCTTCCATTCATCCCCGAAACTCCTCGTTGGTATATCCAAAACGCAAATAACGTCGAAGAAGCCCGCAAAGCCCTTCTTCTTGTGCGAGACACTGAACAAGAAGTCGAGGATGAAATTCTCCAAATCAGAGAAGCCCTCGAATATGAAAAGGAACAAACGTCAACCAGCTCATACAAAGCGCTCTGGATGGATAAATCCGTCCGTAAGAGAATGTGGATCGCATTTGTCATCAACGCTGGTCAACAACTCACTGGCCAGGGAAGTCTCAATAGTTATTCATCGGCTATCTACAAGGGAATTTACCCAGATGCCGAAACCATCAATCTCATCAACGCAATCAACGGCACCTGCGGTATTATCTTCACTCTCAACGCTGTCTGGACCGTCGATCGCTATGGACGGAAATTCTTATTTATCATTGGCGGTTTCGGCATGGCGCTCTGCATGATCGCTTTTGCTTCTGTGGGGGTCGCGACACCTAACTCGTATTATTTAAGCGGAACCACTAAAGTTCTCACGAAAGATCAACCAGTCGGTATCGCGCTTACGTTTCTGTTGTTCCTGTTCATCTTCTTTTATAAACCGACCTGGGGTGCGACGACATGGATTTGGACCGCCGAAGTCTTTAGTATGAATGTGAGAGCCCAGGCTGTGGGTATGTGTAGTCAGTGGCAGAATGTGTCGAATTTGATTTTCAATCAATTCTTCCCGGTATTTTTGGCTAAATGTAGTTTGTATGTTATCCCCTTCGTCTTCCTCCCCCCTTACCCTTACCAATTTCTCACTAACATCACTTGATATAGCAACACATTCTACTTCTTTGGCGGCATAAATTGTCTCCTGGCACTCTTCGTCATCTTTGTGGTTCCCGAAACTAGAAATATCATGCTCGAGGAAATGGACGTACTTTTTGGAGGCGTCAATCATGTGGAGAAAGGAGGTGCGCAGTTGGGGTTGGAGGATACACATCATGCGAATGTGCATATGGAGTCTGGTGAAGGGGAAATCGTGCAGGTCGGGACCCATAATACGGTTGTGCATGAGAAGGTGTGATGGATAATGGAAAGGGGGGAGTTGAGGTTGGAGTATGGGGAAAGGGATTGGCTAGGATTGGATAGGATGGGTTGCGAGGAGCATGGGGTTTTTTCGGTTTTGGGATGGGAAGTTGGAATTTATATCTATATATACTCGGTATATGATTCCGTACCCAGGGTTGGATTTTTAGTTAATACGAGGTTGTTTGAGTACATTCCATACATATATGAAAGAAAGTTTTACCTTAGACATTTACTCGAGTACTTATTGCTTTTTATTATTATTTTTCACATTGCTATATGTAATCGATATTCAAAATATCTTTTTATCACATCTTTAATCCGAAAACACATAGGGTTCCTGTTACTATATACAGTCTGGCCTATAATTCTAAATGAGAGAGATTCTTGAAATCATATGAATTGGTCGAGACTCGTGATAAGTTTTTGATGAAGTAAAAGTTATTCTGGTATACACAGTCTACTCGAGTATATAGTCAGTTATTAGAATAGAGTAGTACATGCAGTCTTATATACAATACATTTCCACGAATCAATCGAATTGAATCGAATCGAATACCGGAATTGTAATGTAATAATAGAATTACCTCATCTCATCTCATCTCACAATGTGTCTTACATATAGACTCGAGTATAAGAAAAAAATCACGAGCTTTAGCTTTGTTTATTGATAGGTCATCTCTCAATAAACAGATAGTAGTACTCGAGTATAGTAGTGGTTATTTTAGAAATTCGTTTCATTAAGAGCTGTGCCTCAAGGAGAAGAGGATTGTTTCTATCTACTTGTAGATTGAATGGTATCATATACCGGTATTTAAGCATCCCACATTATCAATTGATACAAGATCGAAATGCAAATATGCAAATGCATACCAAGACTATAGAGACTACTCATACATAGTATAGTCCAATAAATTTATATTTAAGAATTACTGTATCAAACAGAGAAAATCTTTTGAACCCGGACTGCAGTGTACAGTGCACACACAAAAACAACTAAATATCACTATTCAAGGCAGGCCATCTCATCCGGCCTCGATATCTCTGATCTTCTCTAAACGCAGTTGATACCCAGCAAACTCTTGTCCATATTAGTACAAGTCCATGTTGCGGTCTTTCCGCTTGGTGTGGTGATGTTGATGTTTTGGGCGGAGATGTTTATACAGGACTTGGTGGGTGGTGGGTTATTGGTTAGTGGGCTGTGATGATAGGAAGAGAGGAAGAGAGGATTGAGAGATCGGGAGGTGGGAGGTGCGGTTTGAGTTGTGCTAGCTACTAGCTACTAGCTTTAGAGAATTAAGGTATGATATTCGGATGTTAATATCCACTTGGATATTCCACTCTGTGCGTTTACAGATGGATGTATGTTAAGTAAATCTTTTTGGAGAATGAGAAGTTAACGATTCAGAAAATGTAGGAATGTATAAATATAGTTAACTCACGGCTGCACTGCTGCATATCAACGTTCCAACTTTAGGAGCGTATTTTGTGCTGGAGACACCGGCGAAATTCTTGAATACTACATCTTGGATTATCATTTTTGTCTGGTGCGTGTGGCTAGCTGAATCGTTCTTGTATGTGAGAGGAGAGAGAGCAGAGAAAGAATAGTGGGCGTCAATAACTTACGAGATACGCATTGCAATTCGCAGTAGTCTGCATGTAGCAAGAGGTAAGTTCAATCGAATCTAATGCATCATCCAGTCATTAAATCAGGCACCCTCTGATTGATTTAATCACACAGCACTCACAATCATCGCCCGCAATCGTCATGCTATCATACGTGACATTTCTCACAGAACCATTTCCCCCACCCACCCCATAAGGCAAACTCCCATTCGGATTGGGCACCGCACCCGCCCACACCTTGATTCTCGCCGCATCACCTGATTTACTCAGGGTATTATTGTAAATATATATATCTTCGACAATATCGGTAACGCCAACATATTGACCCAGACTCCCAACGGATATGCCGTGGGAACCGGTGCAGGCGAGATTTTGTACGAGGATGGAACTACTGTTGGGCTTGAAGGATACGCAGTCGTCGGTGTTGAGGATCGTGGAGTTTTGGATCGTGATGTGGGAGGAGAGGTAGGTGTCCCATCCATCTTTAGATATTTGTCTGTTTTGTTTGTTTTGTTTGTTTAACATAGGTAACTCAGTGGAATAAATGGATGAATAGGGAAGAAACTCACCAGAGTTCTTGACTGGATTCAAATTATTTGTCACCGCCGTCAATGTCATTCCACTAATCAACACATCCTCACTCCCTGTAATGAAATTAAACCAATTTGGTGGACTTCTCATTTTAAGCCCGCTCATACTCCCCCCGTTAAGCCCATTCATGACAAATAAGATTGGTCGAGCAAGAGTACTATCTTTTGCAAAAGCATCCCACCATGATTGGCCATTTCCATCAATAGTTCCTCCTCCATACCAATTTATATCATTTCCTCCCCATTGCCAAAAAGCACTGCTGTTTTGGAAAACATATTTGAAACTGTTGGCGGTCCAGTAGGTGATGTTTGGGGAGAATTGGATGGTTCCTGAGATGTTGAAGTCGATGGATTGGAGGGATTGGAGGTTGAGCGGAGTGGAGATTTTGTAGATGGTTTCGTTTAACTGGACCACTCCGCCGTGGTTGCAAGATTTGATGGCGGAGAGAAGAGCGGCGGAATCGTCGAAGCCCGATCCCAGAGAGGAGACGTGGCAATTGCGGTTTCGGGGAGTGGAGAGGGTAGTGGTTGTAAGATGTGGTTTGGAGGGTTGGAGGGGGGAGATGATAATTTCCGGGTGGGACAGAGCAGATGATACAGTCTCAGCACAGGAAGAAAGTAGGAGGATAGAGACCAGTGCGTAATTGCTCGGATTGAGACGCATTTCGAGTCGATTTGATTCTCGCAGATTTGACTGGAGAATGAATAGAGTACAGAGAGGATGGGAAAATAATGAATAGTAGGAGTATCTTCCAGAGTACTAAAGTACCTACATCACCATATAGCTAGATATGACCCGAGCCATGGAACATACGTATTCCGGCTTCCAACTCCACCGAGAGAGGAGTTACGACGTCTTCCTCGACCACTGCATAGTACAACCGAGGCAGATCTACGATCTTCCTAATCCAAGATCAAAGCAAAAGAAGGTTGTAATCCCATTAGCCTAGGGTTGAAGATCTGCAAATTATACAGGCTAAATTTGAAGAACAATTGCTCTTGAGATGAAGCTATATGGTATAAACAAACGCGCTTGGTTAGTCACTATAATCAAACATGTCCTCGCTTTCACTTGAAAGTAGGAGCTTATGTTTTGAGTCGATCGAGAAATAGATATGTGACAAATGATATTAACTGGTTGATGGATATTTGGGAGTGTCATTTTTCCAAGTCCAAACTATTGGAATACGAATGAAGCTTATTACAGCACTGCGGACACTGTTAACTCACTCCTCCCACACTAACTGAAGCGGGGAGAATTAGTATCCACCAATGATATTGTAGAACTTCATCCCGCCCACTTCGGCTTTCCGCGGCCGCATCATACCACAAATTGATTACCGGTACTCTACAAACAATTTGAAACAAAAATATACTCTGAATAAAGTCACTTGAGCCTGATCAAAGAATAAATTCACAAATTTCGAGCCCACCATGACCCAAAGCAACACCTACATCAACCCCATTCTCCCGGGTAATCATCCCGACCCCTCCATCATCCGCTCTGGCGACGACTACTTCCTGATCACCTCCTCATTTGAATATTTTCCCGGAATTCCCATATATCATAGCACAGATCTGATATCATGGAGACATATATCGCATGCTTTGACACGTCGCTCCCAGCTTGATATTCGCACGCCGGAACCTGGAGGTGGAATATGGGCTCCGACTATCAGGGAGCATGATGGGTGGTTTTATATTACTGCGGCATGTTTTGACAGGTATAGACCACAGGAGGATGAAAGAATATGGCCTAGGGGATTTTATGTCAAGTGTAAAGCGGAGGTTGTTTTTGGAGGTGATTGGAGTGATCCTGTTTGGTTTGATGAAGTGGGATTTGATCAGGATGTAAGTACTTTTTGATTTTGTACTTCTGCCTGCACTGGTCCGAGTCACGAGAATGGGAGGGATGATAAGGGCTAATTGTTGATGGAAGCTATTCTTTGATGATGATGGGAAAGTCTACTTATCAACCACACGACGCAAGCATGAGCGTACCTTGGGGAGATCTCTCAAAGACTTCGCCATTCACATCAGCACTGTTGATCTTTCCACTGGCGCTTCCACGTCTACTCCCAAAGTGATTCGTTCTTCGACATCTGGGATCGCAGAAGGCTCTCATATCTTCAAGCGAGGAAAATTTCATTATCTTTTCACAGCAGAAGGTGGCACGGAATCTGGACATTGTGAATGGGCATCACGATCATCGAATGGACCATTAGGACCATGGGAGATTGGGAGTGCTCCATTATGGAAAATTGGGACTGAAGATGATGAAGTGGTCAACACAGGCCACGTGGATATTGTTGAGGATAAAGATGGAAATTGGTGGGCAGTTATGCTTGCATGTCGGCCTATAAAATTGCCTGATGGGGTCAAAACCTTTCCAGGGATGCCAGGTGATTACGAGAAAGTAACCGGTGGCTGGAAGTCCTCTATTTTTGGCAAGTTAAAGATAGTAGCCATCAGAGAAGTTGAATGGCTAATGCAAAATCTTTAGGAAGAGAAACATTCCTTGTACCCATGAATTGGGAGAACGACTGGCCAGTCATGAATAACGGCAATAAAGTCGCACTTGAGGGGGAAGGACCAGGATTGTATCGGTTACAGCGACCTGTAAGGTGGCGTGATGAATTTATGCATCCGGAGTTGGAACTTGGCTGGTATCGGAAAAGTAAGATCATCTATCCTCACTCACAGCGACGAGGAATCCAAACTTGAGAAGTCTCCTAATTTTCCACACAGATACCCCTCAAAAACGAGACTATGAAATTACAACGAATCCCTCCGGTCTCCGCCTAGTCGGTAGCCCCTACGCACTCAGTAGTCCAGCTTGCCCGACACTTTTTCTCCGCAAACAAACATCTCGCGTTGGGGTCTGGTCCACAAGACTCTCATTTCATCCCACTTCCCGTCATATGAAAGCCGGCACAGTAGTGTATTGGAATTACTTGACGTATGCCAGTATTGATGTATATTCGTATCCATGGGATGTCAGTAAAAGAGCGATTGAATTCAATCTTGTGTTGAATGGTAAAGAAGCCTGGATTGTCATGGGGAAGCTGAAAACAGAGGGAGATGTGATACTCTATATCTGGTGTACAGATGATGGCTATAAATTGGGTTATAGACCATGTGATGAAAAGAACGAGAAAGTCATAAGTTGGATAGGCGAAGCAACAGTTGACGAGATAACGGCAGATCCACCAATTGGCGCTGCATTCATGGGAATGATGCTAGGATTGTATGCGACCGGTAATGGGGATTCTGGTATGGTCTCAGCGGATTTCAAGTTTGCGGAATTTGATACCCTTCATGAGCCTGATCCTATAGTCATCGAACCACTTACGTGCTGTAGATGATCTCGGTGGTCGGGGAATCTCGCTTTCCTCATATCAGAAGCTTTTATAAAAAGAATTGATACCACCATTGAAAACTTGAAGACTCAAAGAGACATTTGTGAAACATGATAGTGACAAAGAACCAGGGTTTGCAATCTTCGTTTGGCCTTCCGTCTGTAGGTATTCACAGGATCATGTAGGTATTCACTGGACCATCTAGCATGTGCCAGAGGAAACCAACTCAGATTCTCTTCATTGCATTTGGCTCGCAGAACATTTAGAAAAGAAAGCGGGGGAAATTACCGGATGAATTGACACACGACAGCTACCGTAGTAGTGAGTCCTAAAACACCAGATGATCACATAACCGATAACGCATTATGTAAATGTCCTTCTCCGTCGATGGTACTCTATAACCAGACATATAAAGTATCACGCATTGAGAAACAATAGAAGAGGAATAAGAATATTGGGAAGGTACTCATGCAGAAAAGGCCCACTTGACATTAACTGTTGACTTCGGGACCTCAGTAAGGTATGTAAAAACTAGAAAGATGACAGCAGCACAAACCGCTTTTTAGACTTGGCTAGAGCTCACCGGGAGCCATTCATTGAGGTAATTTGATTTGCAGTGCTCAACTTGGGCTCATTGCGCTCAACCTTATTTGAATCGCCATCTTCAACCAAGGAGAGATGGAATCGCAAATTTAGCAATATCGAGTGACCCTTGTATTTCCGAACATCCAATTTCATAGATGAGAACGAGAGGAACGTGTATGTAATGAATCTAGACCGAACCAATTTTGGCATCAACAAAGTCTAGAATCCATCAACAACATCAACATACCCTTGCTTCTCCTCACTGGCACCATGTCTTACTGTCTACCAAGACTGTTAATTTTGATTCTATTGCAAGACAAAAAGGGAGGACCCCACTAGATCGTATATTGCCCAGGAAAAAGATTCAAATTTCCCCGCGATTTCTGCATTTTCAGCATTCGTTGTGCAACGACCAGAATCAAATATGAAGTCATCGTGATTGTTTTAATTCAAATGCGAAATGAATTATCATATTGATATTCATCTGAATTGCTGTATCAGTGATAAGAAATGATGTCCGAGATGGCGATGTGAATGGTGAAATCGGCGAAAGATGTTTTGGATCAATAATGGTATTGGTGCTATGGTCGATAGGTTTAGGCTCATAGCGCTTAAACATTGGCATTATTCTATACTTCGTTAGCGTAATGGGAACTGTTCGGGCTCAACTGCCATTTTTAGGTTAATTAGGGGGGAAAAGAACCTAAACAAATCTTCTTCTGTGCCTGGTTGGCCACATCATTTTTAATCTTGTATTCGTGGGAAAAGACAAAAAAAGCCAAAACAAATTCGAATTTCCACTCTATCGAATTTCCAATATAAGACAAAGCTAATACATACATGAGACTTGCTATCGATAAGCTGGGCTGTATGTGTTATTATAAGATTATAAGTCTTTTTTATAGTTGACCGAGTATTGTGAAGATATTTCTAAATATTAAATCTGATTAGGTTATGCACAAGTATACAGCATACACCTTGCTTCTTTCTTAGATGCGCTTCCTCCCCCCATTTACTAGCGTTGCAAAAGCTAAGCTATTGCAGCACTACTACCTGTCTATAGCTACAAAGCACGCTCTAGGCTATATCTGTTTAAGGCTCAGGTACCCCTTTCATATAATATAGTCCTTGTAAATCAATGCATCTTAGAATTAAGGTTATTCTAGGGGATCTACTCGAATATATATACAAGACCTACTCGACCTTTGAAGTTGATGAAGGGGATACTAACGACTGAAGTTTATTCATCACTTAATAAGATTCTTCTCTCATAACTATTTGATCTTTTAATAAACCATTCAATTCTTGGTTTCTGACTCAGCCCTGGCTCATGGATCATTGAATACTGTTTGTGCATCGCGCCATTTTTGTCTAGAAGGGTAAAAATTCCCCTGTCATCCTCATTTCCTTCGAGCAGGGGTCTAAAAGTTAGCTCCCAGTATAAATTTAAAATCCTCGAATCACAACCTCGTCTAATCGAATTCCCTCCGAAGAATGATCTCCGCCTTCCATCCTCTCATCACCTAAATGATAAATCTCACGCCAAAATCATCAAATCACCAAATCTCTTAACGATGTATCGAATTTGTCGAAGGTGTATCCCAATCCTTAGCGTTCAATCCTCTGAACTTTTGAAGTATAATTTTATCCCAGCCTAGAACCCCATAAGTTAGAAGTGGTGCTGCCAAGGGCTGATGGCACCTGCCCGCAAAAGTTAGGAAATGAGCGTGGGTTTAAGTATTGATCTTCTCTTTCCAATTCCTCATATTCTTTCTTCTCTCTCTCTCTCTCTCTCTCTCACACACTCTCTCAATCCAAAATAATAAAAGAAATCTCTCTTTTTCTTTTATCCCAAAATTAATATTTGTATCTTTGATACTGTCCATTCTTTGAATATCTTCTTACTTTCACTCAATCCTCATATCAACATGCGTTACCAATTCGTCTCTGCCGCCATCTTGGCCTCCATCTCATCCGTCTTTGCCCAAACCGCTGGCTTCGACGCTATCTCGGTACCAACCAACGGCCAAGCTGTCAGTGTTGGAGATGTGTTGGACATTACCTGGGCTGCGAATGCTCTTTCCGGGACTGTTACGATCAAACTCTTAGAGGGTGCTTCTCCATCTACCTTGAGCTATGACCCTGTCGTCATTGCGAGTAAGTTCTACTTCCCTTGCGTGCATCGAAGACATGAACAATTGTATTAACAACTATACTCAGCCTCCATCAACAACTTGGATGGTCAATACAAGTGGACCGTCCCAGTCTCCGTTGGCAGCTTCGCAACCTACGGAATTGCCATTTTCCTCGATTCCGATGCCAGCACGTTCCAATGGTCCTTCCCATTCGTGATCAATGCCGCTGCCCCATCCTCCTCTTCTGTTATCGTCTCCACCACCGCCTCATCATCAGTTGTCGCATCTAAATCCGCCGTATCCTCTGTTGCGACCGAACCACATGCTACAATCTCCTCCACCGCTGTAGTTGCCTCTAGCATTTCCAGTGTTTCAAGCTCCTCCTTCAGCACGGTGACAACTGCTATCGCCACACCTGCTATCGCCACACTTGCTCCAGCTACCACTGTCGCTCCAACTACCACAAGCCACGTTGCCCCATCCACCAATGGAACGGCCGCCAACGGAACCTACACTGCACCTTCCGGATCCAATGTCACCTTAAGCACCAGTGCTTCTGCGACAAAGACTGGTTCCGGCATCGTTACAGCCACTGGCAATGCTGCCTCAAGCAACATGGCCACTGGTTCGTTCGCCTTGTTGAGTGGTCTCTTCGCTGCTTTCATCTTGTAAATCCCTTCTCGTCATACAGTTGAGATTTGAGATACTACAAATGACACACAACGCATTGCGCGGCGCTAGACAGCAACATAGTTTTCATTGAGTTTGGTTTGGTTTCGAGGCGGATAAAGCTTCTGGTTATAGAGGATTATAGGGTTACAATGTCATGATATAAACTTCTTTTACATACCCATCACCGTACTGTTTGTTTAATGATGGATTGGCTTGAGGGGTTCTTCGTCAAGAGGTTTAACAGTTAGATTAATGAACGAAGTAAACATTCAGATCACTATATCGTATAAGTGTACTCGTGGGAAGTAGTGATGTTTTGCTTGTTGCTTGTGACAGTGCTTGGGATGGATTTTTTGCTAGTGCTTGATGGTAGTGAAGTTCGTCTCAAGTGAATTAATTGTGTTGTATGGCATGCAAGAATGGCTTGTTATGTAGTCAGATAGCCAACGTGTAGTCACAACCTATCATAAAATATCCAGTGATGAATCATCCACACTTCCTTAGCAAACAAAACTCCTAAGTGCAAAACCTCTTCATCCAACACTCCAGCATCACATCTACCTCATCCAAACCAGTTCCCTCTCAACTCCGTTCCCTAGACAACTGAGTTGTAAGAACACTCCTGGATACCCTCCATACCCTCCATAAATTTCATCCATTTCGATGCATTCCACTACATCAATCCCCCCAAATCCTCAAGCTTTTACTTCATTCATTCATTCATTCATCCATCATCATCATCATCATCATCATCATCATCATGATATTTAAATGCCTTCAAAACGTCAAGTGTAATTGATCGATATACCAGTAACTACAGTAAAAACACTTTCACTTTCACTAACCTCATCTCATCTCATCTCATCTCCTTCTTAACTAGAATATCGTATCTTGATCCATACACCATACATAGATTGAAGTACTGTACAAGAATCAATCCATTCATTCACTTATAATCTCACCACCTTGATTCGAAAAAAAATAGACCGAGTCTGGAAAACTGAACGGGTTTCATATTATACATATATATTGCTTTGCTATTGGATATGAATATGATTATGAATATGAATATTAATATGAATGGTGAAGTATCTAAGGTATACTTGAGTACTGTATGGGCATACAGTTTCGCATTGTTGGTTTCTTGTTGGATATTGGTAGGTTGGTAGGTAGGTACTATCCAGCGCTGCAACTGTTTTGATTCCGATTCTCATTCCCATTCCCATTCCCATTCCCATTTCCGTCAACCCTATCCTGTATCTATCCCCAAAATCCCAAGATAGTAAGACCGTCCGAATCCAAGATATTCCAAAACTTTGTACTAGAGCCTATCCCTAACAGGGAATCCAATAATCCGGACTTGTACTGAGTAGTCCAATTAGATTACCTAGAGAAATTCCAATGTTCGAACGACTTTTATTTTAATCTCTGAAAATAATTGATTCATTTCAAGTAATTCATTATTCCAAATGTGTTCAATGATTGAAATGGTTTAGATATTCTTGATATATTTAATATTTTAAAATCAAAATAAATATTTGAGATACCTATATTCAAGAATTAAGAATCTCTTATTGTTGTTGCAGTCTAGATTATTGGATACCCTGAGCTGCTGCTGCCCAGAATAAATATCCTGATTACTACATCCCATATTTCTATTCGAAAGCAAGTTGAAGTGTACACCGACACCACCTTTCAAGACTTACTTGTCAACATACTCAGAGATCGCTCATATAAAGAATCATTCATGCAGCATTACTCGTTGATGACTTTGCTTAATCTAAAAGTCTACTGAATTTCTAAGAGCCTTCCGACAGATACGTTATTGACGCACCTTTTTCCTCTTCAAGTAGCCACTTACAGGGCAAGAATGGATGACATGTTCAAACACGAAGTTTACTCCCTAATGCGGTTGGGTAGTAAACTGGGAGTATGTTCAAAATACTTTCGTAGCGTCTTTAAAATAAAACGAAATCTGGGAGGTATATAATTTAGTGGGATATGCAAATATTACTCGTAGTATCGTCCGAGAACAAATTTCCGGTATTTGAGTGTGGGGTTCTAGTCAGAAGAGTTCTGGACGATAGTTCATATAAAACGCAATTCTTTCTATATCAAGAGTAATAGGAATCCAAACGTTTTGTTGTCTAAAGTTCCACCGATTAGAATAACAAGAAGAACAAATTGCTTTTGAGCATTCAATTAATGTATCAACAGCGAAACTCTGCCTAGTAGACTGTAGACTACAATACGATAATTCCGTTGCAAGTATCAGATAGTAATAATTACATCAAAGACCTAGCCCTAACTAGCAATAGAAACTTTCTCTTAGCCATAACATCTAATTCTTGCTTGAAGCTTCTCAAGTTCTCCAAAGTCAACTATAGATCTGGACCATGAGAGGCTTAAACAATTCAAAGACTTGTCTTCGGGAATAGTTCGACTTCTCGGTACCTTTTCTTTTTCTAAGGTAGTAGATAATGTATTGATCCTTGTATGCCTTTTAATATCCCCACTGCGGGGTAAGGTGGGTTGCACTCGAAACACCACGCACATAATCGCCACTAAGAAACAATCAATCTTCCCGTACGGAATCATAAATTACATTTTCCATTCTTCACTTGCGAATCGTGATACAACCTTGAAGTGCCCATAAAACAAGTTCAAAAGTATGTCACTAACGGCGACTTCCCTCATCAATGAAACCGCGGATAATAGCCGAGTGGGCGCAATGGGGAATACCGTGTCTGGCAAAAAGTTAAAGATTAGGTCGTACCCGAGGTTCGAAAGCTTGGAGGAAGAGAGATTGTATCGCAAACAGCATCTAGCTGCCGCATTCAGGATGTGAGGATTCTTATGGAAATTGTTGTACTTCGATTTTTACTGATATGTGACAGATTCGCCGATCGAGGTTTCGATGAAGGGGTTGCTGGCCATATGTGAGAATGCCGTCGAGTGGTACTCTAGTCGCCGAGGATAAGAGGCTGATCAAATTTGAGTAGATCAGTTCGTGACCCAATTCTCACTGATCACTTTTGGCTTAATCCCCTCTCTCAACACTTCTCTCAAATCTGTGTATCGGATCTTATCCTGGTGAACGAAGATGGAGATGTGGTAATTGGAGATGAGCCAATCAATGCTGCCGCATTTGCTATCCATTCTGAGAGTACAAGAAGTCCACAGAAGATAATCTGGGTGTGCCAAGATAGCTAACATTTTGCAGTCCACAAAGCTCGTCCCGACGTGCACGCCGCTTGTCATGCTCACTCTGTCTATGGCAAAGCCTACAGCGCATTTGGTCTTCCTCTTGATATGATAACTCAGGATGCTCTCCGATTTTATAAATCTCATAGTGTATATGACGATTTTGGAGGAATTGTCCTCGACCGCGAAGAAGGTATTCGTATAGCGAAAAGTTTGGGTAACGGGAAGGCATGCATTCTACAGAATCACGGGCTGTTGACTGTAGGTCAGAGCGTGGATGAAGCAGCCTTTTGGTTCATAAGCCTTGACAAAACCTGTCATGCTCAGCTGATGGTAGATGCTGCGGGAGCGGGGAGCGGGAAGGTGAAGAAGATTATTAGGGATGAGGAGGCGGCCGTTACTTATGAGCAAGTTGGAGGTAAGATTGCCCATCTATTTGGGAGAAACACGGATTTTTAACTCGAGATAGGGCCAAAGAAGGGATGGTTGGCTTTCCAAGGCTACTACGACGAAGTTATGGCCAAGACAAATGGGAGTTTCCTGAAGTGAAGAATGGAATAGCAATGAAGAGCTTTTGATCTTCATTTAATCACCCTATATCCACCGAGATCTAAGAAGACCGAAATATCTGTAGGAAGCCATTTCGTTTGTCGCTTATTTCGTAGTCGTATTTGTTTAAGGTCGCAATCATAGGCGCTTCCCATGCATGGGACAATCACAAGCATGCAGTTCTCCATTTAGGACACATTTATTTCTCTGAGTCATGCGGCTGACACGATAATCTCTCGCATGATTTTCGTCCCGAATCTCAATGAACTTGAATGAAGACACTGGAAAAGAGATTCTCCACCTAATCAAACAAACAATCTTGTAACATCGAGTGTGGTTTCCATCCCTACTTCACTGATCAGCACGAATGAAGTAGCGAGCATTATGCATCCATAGATTCGGGGCTTTCTTTTGTAGACATCCGGTACCGATTATTCGGATATGTGGGATGACATTTGCTGGTTTTACTCGTATCTAAGGGTGGGACGACAAACCGAAGTACCGGTACTTGCCTATGCTCTGTCACAAAGCCTGATGGAGAATTAGAGCAATCTAAGTGACCAGACAACAGCGAGGCTGGCCACTATTGAGACTTACTTGGATTGATGGTGATAGTAACACATGAGACCACTTCGCCCTTTCTTTTCGCTCTCTTGGCTAATTTAAAGATTAACCTAACCTCGGGAATGTCAACCACTCAAGAGAGAAATTGAGGAAGAACCGGTCGTTCATTGTGTCATAAACATTGAATCAAATATATTACTTGAGTAGAAAAATGTTAAGTATCTCGTGCTCTTTTTCAAATGCGTGTTGTGCAGCATTATCTGCGATGTAACTTTGGCTTAGGTAGTGATGGGTGATTTGATGTACTTGGTACTGGATCTACTCTCAAAAAGGAAAGGTCTAAATCTTATCAGTTCGGAATGAACACTACTTGTACATATGGTGCAGTGCTACTTACTCTCCTTGTATCTGGGACCTTCTACCTCCGCCAATCCACCTACATTTTGTAGTGGAAATGAATAATATATACTAGGTAGAGTACTGCAGGTGTGATTGATGCAAGTTCATAACTACTACTCCGTCGTAGGCTCGAGACAACCCTTGGCCCCCAGAAGATCAACAACCATCGTGTGGAGCATATGGAGTCACCTTTCCCCACACAAAGTGCTAATCAAGTGTTAAACCTTGACTGGTCTTTGCTCTCTCTCTTCAATCTAGATCTTTGAAACTTCCCTTTCCCCGAATCCTTTCCCCCACTGATCCAACGGGTGATTTACTAGGATGACTAATGACAGACCAACTTACCTATCTACCTACCTAGTACCTCTCCTCTTTCTTTAATCACCATCAACCACCTCAGAAATTATTTATCTATTATCTACTCGAGTACAACTTAACTTAAGAAAGCTTCGCCAGAACACTTTGTTTGTTCACTTTAGTAGTCGTTGAAAGACCAGCGATTATTAGATCTTTACTACCTCATACCTATTACCGGTATCTACTCACTACATTGCCTATCTATCCAGCTGAATTGGAACGCCACTACTGTATAGATCATCTATTGCGAAGGAGGGCAAGAGAGCGCCACAAAGGGACGTCGTGGTTCTGTGGTTTGCGAAACCAAAAAAATAGGTGTGGTGCCACAAGCGGAAAGCCTTGATCATATTCAAGAGCGGGGCTGATATCTTTCAGACCTACTACTTTCTATCACCTTTTACTCAAGTCCATCTCGCTTTCTCGAATATTATCTTTGATACTAAAGCAATACGGGAACAATGGCTGGACAACCTGGGGCCTCTCGAACAAGTCGAGGGGAAACTTCTCTTGATGCGGCAATGCGAGCACCTTCTACCACTGCTCCAGATGTTGTCGTTCTTAGCTTTCTGGACGAGGATATAAAAGTAAAGGAAGTGGCAGATCCCAAAAAGGATCTTTGGGTATCTAGTGTCGATGGGTATGTCGAATTTATTGTCTCTTGCGATTCTGTGGCTTGCACATCAGCTGTGCAGATGTCGCAAACAATCGATGCTGATTCCAAAATTATATAGTCGCTATTCATCACCAATAATTCCGATCCGTGTTGGACCTCATGCCGAAACGTTCCATGTTCACCGCGATATTCTCACCAAATCAGAATACTTCAGAAAAGCTTTGGATGGAGAATTCAAAGAGGCCGCAGAACAAGCCATTGATTTACCCGAGGAAGATCCCACTCTGTTCGAGTTTGTCATTGCCTTCCTCTACGAATCGAAATACTGCCCTCTACGTCCTGTCGCAGAAATCATTGTCGCCGATCCCGAAAAGGGCAAAGGAAGAGAACAGAATGACGATGGAAATGCTTCGGGTAGTGACGACGGAACAGAGAGTGGAACCGCAAGCGATGAGAGGTAAAATTCGCCCGCTGAATACCCGAAATACTACATTTTGCATACTAAAAGTTTATAGTGCCAGAAGTCGGAGGAGACGAGATACCCGTCGTAGACGTCAAGAACGAGCCTGGGAACAAAGACAACGAAAGGAACCTGGACGTCATCGACCAGATTGTAATTGTACTCAATGTACTCTAGAAACCTTCGGTCCAACTTGTTGGAATTGTGGCGTGACGAGAAGGATGCCTCAACCTAGAAATCGTTGGGTGAATGGCATGCCACCTCCACCTCAACCAATGGTCATGGGCCGCAATGGTTATCCTCATCCCCCTGTTCAGAGAGATCGTAGACGAGGCTCACGAAATAATGCCTTGGAGGAACCACCTGTGGAGGAGAGAATGTCTCAAGAAGACTTGAGAACTTGGTCAATAGCGTATTCCATCAGTGTCGATGTTTACGTTTGCGCTGAAAGATATCTAATTCAGGACTTCAAAAGTTGTGTAGCGGCAGTCATCGTCAACAATTTTGAAGTTGCTGGTTCAGATGCTGCACTACCATCGGTCTTGAATTCATGCAAAACATTACATGATGGAGTAAGCTCAATGGATCCTCTACTCAAGAAAGTCTTTGCTAGAGTTGGCTTCTTGCAAGCTAAACTATGGAAGAAATATCCAGAGGAAACCTCGAATTTCTTCATGGACAATCCGGAGATATCGACCCTGATTCTTAAAGAAATGGCCGAGAGGAGAGAAGAGGATGTCAAAGATGACTTGCCCGCCATGGATCGTCCTCCATTGCCACCCTTACCGAGGGAAGAGATAATACAAGGTCCGAGACGTCGAAACTATGGTCCAATTCCTCATTACTGACATTGATAAGACTACAGACGACATCCGCCACCGCATAACTGGTACTTGACCTAAAATTTATTCATGCCAATACATCGAGATGTGCAGGTTTTGCATTTAGTTTACGGGATCAGATAGAGCAAAGGCTCACTTTTCACGTTTGATTGGGATATTTGGGACTGGTGATATCTTGCATGGTAGTGCGCATGTTCTCCTTATACCCTCATCTTTTACAGAAACAGAAGCAAAGGCTACTGAGGGGACTGGGCGTTGGATGGCAGGTTTGATCACGTTTGACAGCATAAAACTTATATTATTACGGAAAAATACATATTTCGGTATAGCACAGCCCGATGTCCTTGATGCAGTTGTGATAATTAACGTGCACTAATGATATTAGGCAATGTATTTCCTGTCTTCCTATTGGTCGCTGATTTCTTTTCCCCCCGGATCTGCATATTCAACCCCGCCATTTTAACCTTCACTTCAAATTGTTTCTACCTAAATTTAGGAGCTTGAAGCATCAAGAGTTTTAGGTATATATAGGTCACAAGTGCCAAGAATAAGTTTTAGTCCTCACTGTTCCTCGACGTCTTTAATTACTTTCACTATGTATCTGACTTTCCTTCACTCTATTCTGCTTCCGTTGTGCATCTTCTCACTTCTTGTATTTGCACAAGATATCACAGCATCTCTAGATTATGGTACTTTTCAAGGTGCTCACTCATCTACGTACAACATAACTTATTACCAGAGAATTCCCTTTGCAGCGCCTCCAACGGGAAATAATAGGTTTAGAGCTCCACAGCCTCCTCTTCCTATCACGAATGGCACATATAATTCCATTCAGACTTTTCCAGCTTGTCCACAGAAAGGCGTAGGGATTTTCTTTCCAATTCCCATCACGTTTCTAATCACGTTTACTCTAACATGGCCAAATCTAGACCGTCGGCTCAGAAGACTGTCTCTATTTATCCCTCTACTCGCGCCCATGGATAACCGGACAGTCTCTCAGACCAGTCATGGTAGTATTCTTCGGTGGCGGGTTCATTCAAGGCGGTGGTTCTCAAGCAGTTCCACCTTCGGCTTATCCCATCCTCAATGTTTCTGCCCAGAACGATATCCTTTTTGTATATCCCAGCTATCGCGTCAATACATTTGGATTTCTGCCAGGGAAAGAGATCGCTGAAGATGAACACTCGGATCTAAACCCCGGATTATTGGATCAGAGGGCAGTTCTTATATGGGTGAATAAATATATTGATCAATTCGGCGGGGACAAAGATAATGTGGGCATCTGGGGGCAGAGTGCAGGAGCTGGAAGTGTGATGTTTGTTACTCTTTCCAATTCCCACCTCAAATGGCTCCTCCTGTATAATTCAGGTAAGCGACAACTAATCTCCTCCTCACACAGCGCGCAAGTTCTAGCCACCTCAGAAGAAACCACGCCACCTCTCTTCAACCGCGCGCTCGCCTCCTCGCCCTTCTGGCCCAAAACCTACACCTACGATGCCCCACAAGCCCAATCAATCTACGACACCATGACCGATCTAACCAACTGCACCGGTGCTACTCATGGCACTTTACAATGTTTGAAATCTCTCGATTGGGAGGTTTTGGCAGAAGCCGCTTTGGTGGTGGCAGCAAGTCATACTTGGAATACTAGCAGTTATACGTGGGCGCCGGTTATCGATGGATCGTTTTTGAAGAGAACTTTGAGTGAGGCGACGGTTAATGCGGCGGATGGTGATGGTGATGGTGGGAAGGGGAAGATCAAGATTTTAGGGGGCTGGGGCATGTATAATGCGCATGAAGGTGAGTTGATTCTCGTTGCCACTTGGGATTCAAGGAGAAGTGAAGGTCAATGTATCTTGTTAAAGCTTGAGTTGATTGCATGCTACAAAATTCTCTCTTCCACTACCAATAAGTTTCTGCTTCTATCTGATGTTGTCTCATGTTTCCAATTTTCCAAAAAGCTTTGAAGAATTAGACAGATGTACAATAAAATAATGTTCCTTAATTCCAATTCCCAAGTGTCTGTACTTCTTCTCCTAGGTCTCGCTCCTAGGTCTCGCTGTTAGTCACCAATTTCACATCATTTAGACCTGCACAGCCCATACCCCTCTCATACAAACTCTCTCCCACTTCAAAACACTCCCACTAACATCCCCTTCCCAGGCGAGAATTTCGTTCCAGCCGGTCTTCAAAACCCCACCGACACCGGTACACCCCCCTTCAACTCCACCACCGCATCATTCAACATCTGGCTCTCTGGTTTCCTCCCCTCGTTCTCCACATCCCAGCTCGATGCTGTGCGCACTATATATCCGGGTGCTGGCCGCGCAGAGACATTTCCAAGTTACAACACTAGTTATGTGAGAGCCGGGCTTATATATAGGGATTCGGTGTTGGCTTGTCCAGCTTTATGGATGAGTAAGGCGGCGAGTGAGGCGGGGTGGATGGGAGAATATACTATTAGTCCGGCTAGACATGGGAGTGATACTATTTATGTATATCTCTCCTTTAATTTTTCTTTCTCTTCCCTTCTCTTCCCTCCCCTAATTCTTCCTTCCCATCCTTCCCATCCTCCCCCCCATCCTCCCCCCCCATAAAAATCCATCAATCCAACCAATCCAACCAATCCAACCCCTCAATCTAACCCCCTCATCCTCAACCTCAGTGGAACCAAGTAAACGCAATCCAAAAATCACAACCGCTCATTTACCAAGGCTACACAGGAGCCCTCGCATCATTCATGGCAACAGGCAACCCTAACAAACATAAAATTACAAATGCGTCAGAACCGCGTGTCCCAGAGCTAATAACCGCGGGAATGCAATTGCAATATGTAATCAGGAGTGACGGATTTGAAAATGTGGGGATTAGTGTGGGAAGTCAGAGTTTGGAGACGAGGTGTAAGTTCTGGGCGAGTGTGGCGGGGAGTGTGCCGGTTTGAGGAGGGGGGGGGATAGATTCTGGAGGAGGGGAGGGGGTTGTGGTTGGTTGATCTCTAGATTTGATAGATTTGGAGTTATGTAAATGTAAATCCCATGATTCGATATTGAATATATACTGGTATTGCATGACTGACAACACCTCTGCTCTTTCAACTCTGAATAATCAGTGGTATACTTACAACAGATCAATTATATACTTTTATGACTTTATCAAATATCTCTTACACTCGAGTAGGACGATACATTTTCCCCAACTCAACATACCAATCTTGAACCAAAAGTAAACATACCTAGTAACTTACACGACTCCCAACTTCGTAGATTCCTCATCTTCACATTCATTCTGATGATATACACCCCTTTCCTTTCCTTTCCTTTTCCTTTTCCTTTTCCTTTTCCTTTTCCTTTTCCCTTTCATTTCCTCTCCTAACATGAACCCATTACAACTAACATCAATATCAACATAGTCCATGGAGAAAGAAAAAAACATGATGTATCCAGGGCATCGTTTGTACCACCCATACCACACCACACCACACCACACCTCCAGACACCAGTTAAAGACTATAACTAAACACTAACTAACATTTGTGTCCAAATCAAATTCAATCAAACCAAAGTAAAATGCGAAACCAGATATTACATTACACCCAAGCTCCATCCATCCATCCAGTGCTACTCGAGTAGAGATGAGTAAACGAGAAAGCTTAGCTTGGCTTGGGCTATGAATGAATATGAATATGAATATTCAAGTCATCGTCACACTAGCTGTGACAGCGGGAATATTCAAGTCATCAAATCATCGTCACACTAGCGAGTGATAATTTGGGAATGATTCAGGATTGGATTGGATGGATTGGATGGATTAGTTGGAATGTTGGCTTTTCTAAAAGGGGATTTGATTAGAGTTTATTTTGAGTAGTCAGTCACCTATCTACTGTAGAGATCTAGAGAGGAGGGTTTTCGGGACCTGAGATTGAATAAACTGTTATAGCAATCTCTAATCTCTACTCTAATCGAGAAAGCTTTGGATTATTGATTATTGGAAAGGTTTTGTCACGCCAGCTTGGCGGGTCAATTTAATATAATATCAAAGATACAAACAAATAAGGAGTATCTGGGTAATAAAAGGATAGCTGTTTTTTTTTTCAAGATCATATGACGTCGGTAATCAGAAAGGAGACAGACATATTGGAGAATTCTTTTGATTTTTCGCTCTTTGTATGTGCTCAATTTCTCGCTTGGAAATCAATCAGTCCGATGAAGTATACCCTGATCTTCAACGCAAAAGCTATGTGTGCTATGTTGCTATCGTTGACGGAGTATGATCGAATGACAAGCAAATTTACAATCGTAACTTCGTCCACCAGGGACCAATTTCTATACATGACCGCCGCCAATCCCATCTTATTTCACTCCGTGTATCACTCCGCTCGTGGGAATTTCCAAATAAAAGAATTGAACGCCAATGATGCCAGCGCCAGACTTTTGCCGACCCAATCATGATACCCCGCTTGTGATAACCGTATTGCTCCTGCACCTTCGCTGAAAGAGCTATGTGTCTACCCGATACCCCCTCCCCCGCCCCCAAGCCAAAACTCCGAATAGTATAAATGACAGTCAAAACTCCTTTCTCCGAAATATGGCATTGTGTCCGAGCTTTGTGGTGCTATCTCAATCTTCCGCTTCTACGTCAGTCGCCGTATCGTCGTCTTCAGGCGCAGTCTCATCCTCCTCATCCTCCTCATCTCCACTACTATCATCATCATCCTCTTCTTGGTTTAGTCCTGGAATCCCTTTCCATTGCACATAGTCATCCTCAATCCATTTCTTCGACACAGGTAATTGATATGGATCAAATGGAAAGTATGCATCCAATTGGTGCCAACTATCATTGCTTGCACCATTCCCTGAGTCTCGCAATGCTCCATTTTCGACTGCACTAGAGAATTGACTCAAACGAATGCGTTTGTTGGTTTCTAACAAAGGATATACGTACATAAATCGTAGGTGGTGTGCGATTTTAGCGAATTCGGCAACGATGGGCGGGGAGCAGATTTTCAAAGGGTTGAGTTTAGAGTAGATAGCGCGGGAGAGTGTCTCCTTGATACCTGTGGTCCAAATGATATCTTGTCCAATAAATGCTGCAGGGTCCTCGTCGTCGAATACTTCGGAGGAATCGATAAGGTCTCGCCAGCGGAAGCAAAAGATATAAAGTAGAGCTTGTGTCATAGCATAGAAAGTTCCATATTTCTTTAGATCCGGTCCCCGGCAAGTGAGTTCATTCTCTGTGCGGATGTGATCCAGATTGCTCCCGATGAGTTCGAAAACGGTCCGAACCACTTGAGGTTCAACGTGTGCGCCTCGCGCGACAAAGCTGGCGAGATAGGCCGCAGAGGATTGTCGAAGCACGGCGGGTCTACCAGGCTGAAATGCCAACTGCACGCACGTTCCGGCAAATTGATCGATTAGATGTTCCGACTTTTGTGCAAAGTGGAAGAGGAGGAATTGTGTGTGTCGAGATCTGTATGTAGGCAGAATTATATTGGCGAAATGTCCTAATAAAGTCTCAAACATATTTGCAGCTTCAATGCTATTTGAGTCTATGAAATAAGGATCATAAATAGCAAATAAGCGGTCCAGTATCGCATCCATCTTTTCGACACTTCCTTGGATTTCTTTGGCTCGTTTTGCTTGTTCTCCACTTGCATCATCGCTATTGACCGATTCGGCGTCGCTGTCATCAGAATCGTCTGCGTCTTCATCGCCTTCTTCTTCCTGTTCAGAAGAGTTCATAGCGAGAGCTTGAACAATAGCACCTGCAACCTCATCATCCACATCGTCTAGATCAACTTGCATCTGTACATCAATCTTGACTAGTCTGTCTGTAATGAGAGCGAAAACATCCGATTTTAATTCTGGAGCGTACTCGAGAAGGCGAACGAGGTTGTTGATATATGTAACATGCACCCTCTTCGATTCGTCGGCAAAAGGAAACTTGGCCGAAAGAATGGGTGATAGTGTAGCGCTAGCGGAGGGGATCAATCGAAGAAGGTATTTCAGTGCAAAGTGGATTCTCGACGAAAGCGTGTCGCGACTGACATCTGGGCAGCCAGAAAGACGCCCGCTCGATAGTCGCACTGTATTCTGTTAGCAGAGCTTGTGATACTGATGAGGGGTAACATGCCCCCAGTGAAGTGATCAACAAGCGTTCCAAGCACCAGCCCAACATACGCTCCTTGCGCACTAACCAAGTTTCCCAGAAACTGAGCATACGCCTTCACAAAGCCCTCTTCTCTGCCCATCCATTCACACTTCAATATAGCTTTCACTAATCCATTGCAGCCCTTGTTCAATAAAGACGCATAACTAGTAAGGGCGATCAGATATGTTTTCACCTCGTCATTTGCAGCAGTATCCTCTCTCTCGTCATTCTCAGCTTGCGCGAAAACTTCTTTAATGCTATCGTACTTTTCGCTATCGCCTTTGCCGTGTGCCTCTATTGCCCGCTTGACCTCCACTCTGACGCTCTCTAGGCTTCTACCCTTTGCGACGTATTCTTCCAAAACCTTTTCCTCGACCTTCGGATTAAAAGATACTCTTGCTCGTTTCGGATTTGGTACTTCTATATCGTCGTCCAGATCGGCATCTTGAGCTTTTCTTATCCTACCTGACATTGGAGCCGACATTGGAGTTTTTAAAAGTGGTTTGTTGCCTGGGGCGGCAGCGGATATTGAGCGATCGACCGAGGCAAGAGGCACCATATTGCAAGGATTTGCAGAGAGAAATTATGTTGCGGCGAGATCATTAATAAAGCTGAAAAAGTCGTTGTGCGGAGGAGCAACTATCGTTGTGCTTCGAAGCAAGGCTACAAGGTGGTTTTGCTCGTGTGCTTTTCCCCAGGTAAGCTACAGAAAAATTATTTTAGTCTTAGTCACATGATTAACCCCAGTTTTGGAGCCGCTATCTAGTTCCCCATGTCAATAGGCTTGAAAGTAGTTTGATCAATACATAAACAATACATGGATCAAAGCTCGGAACTAATTCTACTAATAAGAGTCTTTTTTGGAGTTCTCATAAGCCTAAGGCCATACCATACGTATTGATGAAATCATTATATTCAATTCTTTTCTCCAGATATACAAGCCATAAGATGTGTGGTATTATTCTGGCAATGTGATGCAGGGCTGTCTAGCCTAGATCTCATGTTGTTCTTACTGCTCAATGTCATTCGACCATCTCTGAGCCATTCCGAGACCGAATCCCGCTGAGGTCATCGGCCTCTTGCTCTCAAGAGCCAAAAAATCTAACAAAGCATAAAAAAAACACCCCTGTTTTTGACCCCATCCTTCATGTACAAACAAGGTAAGCGATTTGGATATCTCAAAAGTGGCACATTTGGAACCTGCCCAATTCCTCCCTTCCCAACACCTTTGCATATAGTTGATACACTCTCGAAATATCATTCCCTATGGGCTTGTTCGCCCCGTAAAAGCCCTCGACCATTCGACATAATCAATTTGAATCCGAACTAGAACTTAATAGCCTTCTCCACCAGTAGCACCATTATGACTGGCACCATAAACGTAAGCACCGCTATCGTGTTCGGCTTCTACTTGTTGACCAGCGAGAACATTATTGGCGCCCTCTGCTCCACCCGAGAATGTTGCTGAAGTTGCATTTGCAGAAGTAGCTCCAGTAGCTGGTCCAAATCCGGAGCTACCAGGCCTAATTTGGTTATCTCCTCGAGTCGATTGTTGCTAAAAATTTGCATTAGTCTTGTACATAGGGGGCCTAGTAAGCATAGATCATAGGTAGATGCTAGAGTATGTTTGGATGAGTGTCTTAACTCACTTCTCGATATTTTGATAGATAGATCTTGAGTGCTTCGGCGTAATTCTCGAAACCTAAAGATGTCATAGCGAAGAGAATATCTTCTCCATTGACAGTCTTGCGCTTCTCTTGATGACATTTCTCAGAGGCTATGATGTGACAATTAGACCTGTACAAAGATTTGTCTTGAATCTCGGACCGAGACATACCTTCGCTTGTGATGAACGAGATGAACTCGCTGACACATTCTTGCATGCACTCTTTGGCCTCCTTTGCAATCTTCGCGTTTTCAGGTAGAGCCGTCTTCATGATACGTGCAACTGGTGCAAAGTTACGAATATTAGCTTCTGAATGACCAATATCATATTTTTCTTCCTTTGAGGAGGCTCGCGTCTCCGGTGATTGAGAAGAAGAAGTGTGGGACATGATGGGATGATGTATGAGCACAGTGACACCGCTAGATTGAAGCGTTTGTGCCCCAAGCTCTGGACTGATCCAATGGCGAGGACATGCGCGTGTAATTGGTGTGATCGACGAAGCGATACCAGTCACAATGAACTTCAATATAGGAAATCGCACAAAGCTCGATTTAAGAAGATGAATGACTGAGGAAAAGAAATCATTTACTAACCATTTGCTATAGGGAGCCATCTATCTTGTTCTTTGACCTCGAACTCATAGCCTCCAGGAGCGTGTGGATCCGTATGTTCATTCATTTGTGCATCCGTGTCATCTGGCGAGACTCCTTGTTCAACGTCCGTTTCCTTTGGAGGGGAATTCGACATGATGTATTTGGGTACGTGCAGGTATCGGATAGCCGCTTCCTCAAAATTCCTTGGTTGCCACGTCGGCCGTATGATGTGTAGGACACGTCGTAAAGCCTTGCGATCTCGCAGTTATGCGTATCTGCGTGTTGACTTGCGTCGATCCTCGAGCAGACAGCCTTCTTTTCTCAGGATGCTTACTCTACCTAGCTGGATGCTGCCGAAAACACGCGACTAGATGGGGGTGCGCCTCCGTATGAAACTAGGGTCTTTTGAAAGGGTATCACTTCCTGGGCTGAGCTGCAGGTATCCTACTGCATATGTCGCGTCAGAGGGTTTACAAAGATTTCGGGGATAGAAGGGTGGGTTAAGAATTGGTACGAATTGTAAAAAAGGCTTACCCACTTTCGCTCGAGTCGGAGATATTTCAAAGACTTGCTGCACTGCACGAATGCGCCTTGTGTTCCTATGTTTAAGAAATCTGCAAGACAATAGTGTGCATCAGATGTAAAGGTAGAAACGTGGGGTTTAACGGATGAATGACTGAGAAGGTGATTGATTGCATATAGGGTGTAGCTTGGGTAGCTTGGGTGGGTAGCTTGGGTAGGTAGCTTGGGTAAAGTAAGATGGATAGTAAAATAGCAAGATAGGTAGGTAGGTTGTAAGGTTCGCGCGCAGGAGCTATGATTATGGGATAACTCCGAGGTTTCTCTTTTCGCGTTTAGTAAATGTCAGTGCCAGGTGAATCAAACAACAAAAAAAAAAACCTAGGTGCGGCAGATAAAAGATACGGCAATTGTAGAAATGGAGTAATGGACTTGTCTGCTGTTATGGAGTAAGATAAATTCCTACAACTAAAATTCCAATGGATCATTAGATTTTCTTCCTCTATACAGTAAGTAGAATCATATTAGTATAGTATCGAAGCTATGCATTTATTATTGTTATTGATTGATACCAGGAAGATATGCAATAGATACGAAAAACAGTTACGAAAACACCATATTACAGTAGTAATTTAGGTTAGGCAGTGAGTTGTGGTGCAATGCAGCTGGAAGATTGAATATGGCACAATATCATTCACTGATTACTGCTTCATGGAGATTGATATATCAAAATTGTCTATATTTACTTTATTGCGGTTAATTTTGTATCGAATTGTGAATGGCGGACGATGGGTCAACCGAGCTTCCAGACGTCAGGTACAAGAAGCAAGGCTTGGTGGGATCCGCCCTGGAGCTATTCTCGGAATACGGTAAGAAATGTGAATGGAGAATGGACGATTCGAATCTCATGATTTTATTGTCTTTTCTTCCAATGATTAAATGAGGTCTCAAAGAAAATTACTATTGGATAAATGTATTTTAAATCGAATCAAAATTCAAGTGAATTGATTCGGGAAATCGAGTAATTCATGGTAACTTCATACTCCAATAGATTAATATCATTCTGTATGCAATAGCAAATATTACACACCCAGCGGACCAATACCTTTCAAGATATATGCAGCCTATCAGCTGCACCTTTCATCACATCCCATCTCCAACCTCTGTTGATGGCTAAAGCCTTGTTTGCTTACTTCTTCCATTTCTCTTTCGGTAATGTAGTGTGCCATCCCACAAGATGTATTCATGCATTGGATATCACAGAATACTTTTACTCTCACAGCTTCGTACCACACTGAAATCTAGGACGTGGATAAATTTCACGAGTACTACGATGGTGATGAAAGTAATAGCAGCTACACGGGTCTTTTGAATCTCTTGAATTCTCTTTGCTTTGCTTCAACTTCAAGGGGGTTCTATTGATCTTGACGAACAGGTACGATGTTGGCACGTGTACACAGCAGGAGGAGACCGCATAGGAGTACCGGTAGCTTCACAATCAATGTACAGCATTATCTTTCCGGGGGAGCTTGGAAAGTATGATGCGGAGGGGAGCGTTGCCTAGGGGTATATCACGAAGGTCGCTGTCATTGTCGTATCGATCCTGTAATAGACATCATATCCGTCTCTTTGCAGAATCATGATGTTCGTCATCCGTTCATACAATACGAGATGAACCATACCATCCTTCTACACACCCCCACAGTCTGCAATGCAGGGTTCTGGTCAGCCTGATGGTGATTGAACAACACACCGCGCTTCTCATGCGAACTTAGCCAAGAACATGAACACCTCGGGTCCTCTCATTCTTGACAGCCCTTTATGATTGGGCATCAGGGACGTCAATTCGAGGCGTTCTCGTTGGGCGCCGAGACGCGAGCCGCCGTGGAATTTAGGACTCAGGCTCAACCAACCCGGCAGGAGCCTCACTTGACTGATTGTTGTACAGCGCATAAAGCTACCAGTAATCTGGATATCCTGGGTCTAGATGTCTTCATTCATCCATCTTTTTACGAGGAATCCAATGTTATTATGAAGTCGTACAGACTCTCGTGATGCACATAAGAATATCACAGCCTTCGGGGTAACTCAGCGAGGAGAATCATTCTGACGAGTCGAGATCTTGGGCATGAATGCTTCCCCGCGTATGTCATATTTACTTCCCCGTTATGCAGAAAAATGGCCTGGAAAGTCCTCGCCTCCTTATTGACCGCCTTATGAGCCAAAGTAGACCTCGCTCATTTCTGTTGTTGATGCAACGCCCATACTCCAAAATCTGTGACAAATGCTGACACTATCACTGCTGCACGACCTGGATATTGTTCTTCTTCTGTGTAACAACACTCATCAGCAAATGACTTCATGAACCTAAGGGATTGAAGCTTTCGTACCTTCCATTTCTCCATCTCTGACTGTTTGCTGTTGTATTGCTTGACTAGATCCTCCAGGACTTTCCGTAGACCTTCCGAATTTGTCTTCAAAGCCGGCACCACATCTTTCACAGTCCGTTCAACCAACACACCATTTATCATTCGAAAGCACTTTCGGTCACCAGAAAGAGGTTCGAGTGTTTCGAGAACAAGTCTATGGGAACAGGGGCGGTGAGCATGAGGCTTTCAAGCGGTGAGATTTTGAGTTTCCAAAGTGCTTTCATATACTGACACCCCGAAGTCGGAAGATGATGGTTTCCTGCGAGAATAAAAAAAACTATCCTGAAACTCACTTGTGTTCCTCTGCTTCTGTCTCTACGTCACCAATCTTTGAGGCTATTTGCTGCAGACCATTTTTGTAGTTTGTGTACTGGTTTTGGAGCTCTATTAAAGAGTTAGTGGATAATACTAATATGTAACGGGGTATGTACCTTGCTGTTTGCGCGCCGTAATTTGTTGCGCCATCTCACGAATAGTATGATTTTAGATGTTTGGAAGGATACCGTGACTTCAAATTTCAGGAGAGCTTGAGAAGTTGGGTCGAGGGAGAAAGTGATAAGTCTATCCCGTTTTAGAACGATGAACGATGAGCGCGGGGCCTACACTAAAATTAATTCTGCCGGTTTTCACCGTCATTTGGAAATATGTCTTGTGGATTTCCACAACTCTAGTTACTGTTGAACATTCTCAGATTGTCATAGATTAGTGACCAGAATAAACATCGACCTGGTATATAACAATCGAGAAACAACTACAAAATGCATCCTCATTTATGGACCAAAGATAACTCCGCAGGTACTATTCTTAAGCTCTCATTCTCTTGCGAACTTCATACATGCATTTGGGGGCACTCATCAAACCATTTCGATCATTTCTAACATTCAATAGCTTGCGAAGAAGTCATGGCAGCTTTGGACGAATGTCATGCTCGAGGATTCATGTGGAAATGCATGGGAATGTGCAACGATAAAAAGACAGCAGTCAATAAGTGTTTAAGGGCGCAACGGCTAGCACGGACGGCGGCAAATCGAGAAATCGCAAAAGTTAAGAACGATAAAATCAAGGCAAAATGGGCGGATATAGATGAGACTTCATGAGATTCCACAAGTCAGACTTCGCAGATACGTCCAAATGACTTGGATTGGAATGGCGTTGATAAATGGGGCCGGGGCGTTGAGATATCATTGGATGTTGCATTGTATTGACATTGCATTCCGGAATCAGATTTATACTACAAATGGGCTGAATCGACAGGAGGGAGATGCGTCACACATGGAGTGGGAGCTTTGTTCAGTGTTTCCACTCCGTGGAAGAAGACATATCAACAACTCAACTCAATCATCATAATCAATCTACCATAAAAGCTTGAAGACATTTTCATTATCACAGGTAATATGTCGCACCAACATCGACTAATTTGAAGCACTTCCGATCGGTTCCACCATTACTCTCGTGTTCTGAACGCATTTCCGAAGGTGAAGAGTCCGTACAAAGCGAGAAGACTCAAACCTGCTGGCAATGGCTTTTGGGTTCGAATTGCTCTTGGAATCGAAGATCCTGCGAGAACGATGGATGCGAGAAGAGCGAGTCTGTACAGAATAGTATCAGCTTTGCAGATGATGAGTAATAGACGGTGAATCAAAGACATACTCAATACCATATGACTGACGATTCTGAATACGATAACCACCCAAGAGGTACAAGCTTCCAACAGTGAGACCAGCGGCGATAGATGGGATACTTCCAGATTTAACATAACCCATCGTCCCACCGCCCGCTGTGAGTGCGCCGAGAATATATGCTGGTATTTCGATTCCCTAGCTGCTGTCAACATATTAAACGATTTTAGCCTAGCAAGTCATGAACCCACCATATTTGCGATTTTGAATTAGATGTGGATTAATTGACACTACTTGTAAGATCTGCGATATCTTCTTTGTTATTATGAAAGTACAAAGCAGCTAGAGATTGAATGTCCGAAAGCTATAACCCCTCGGCTCATCCCCCATGCGCTAGCCCCCCTGTAAACGCTAGCCTTAACTCCATAGTAATCGCATCAAGCTTCGTGGCCTTCGAGCTCTAAGCCAAAATTCACAATTCACAACCGCAACCTCCCAACTTCTCCCAATACACCACGAATTCCACCACCTACGCAGACGATTCGCTAATACTCAACAATGGCACCCAAAAAGAACGCCGCGGCCGCAGCGGCCATTGCACCACCCACCACACAAACCACGACGACCACGACTACAATCCCCTCCTCCACACCCGTTAAGATACCCTCCAAATCCTCCTCGCAAAACCAATCACCCCACCAAGTAGCCCTCGGCATCTGGCAAAATTACCTCGATAAAACACCTCAGAGAACAAAGTTGATTGATGTATTCATGTCTTTTTTGGTTGTAGTGGGCGTTCTGCAATTTGTCTACTGTATCTTGGCTGGCAATTACGTGAGTAATTTTTCGTGGTTTGGGTATACATACGAGTATTGGGGGCCAGATATGATGGATAAGCTGCGAGAGTTACGGATGGATAATGAGCAGAAAGTCATGGGCTAATATAATTATAACAGCCATTTAACGCATTTCTTTCCGGATTCTCAGCAACTGTAGGACAATTTGTTTTGACGGCTTCATTACGCATACAGACGAATATAGAGAATAAGGCTGAATTTAGCTCGGTGTCTCCAGAGAGGTACGTAGTTCCTATTCTTTGGCTAATTGCGGGGTGCTAACAATGTTATAGGGCATTTGCAGATTACGTGTTTGGAAGTTTGATTCTACATTTCTTTTGCGTCAACTTCATCAACTAGATGTGTGCATATTGGAGAGGATGTGATTTGGTGTGAAAAGCAGATTTACAGGGACTGTAGAATTACCAAAAGCAGGGGAGGAAAAATATTCCCATTTATGAGCATTATTCAAATGGCATCTGCATGTTAAGTGTGAAATTACTGCCTATACATTTAGAGGTATCTCAAACAGTTAATCAACACCACTATCATATGAATCTTTTGTTTCTGCCGGTATTGCACCAGGCGCCGGATCTGCTGCTTTGGGTGTCCCAGCTCTCGGCGGGCCTCCTCCTTTAGGGGGCGGAGGCACACCACCACTCTTCGCGGTCGGCGCATGATCTAATTCTCTACTCTTTTTCTCCCCCTCCATAAAATAGTCATCCATGAAATCATTCGGGTTGTGCCCATGTTTTTTCCCTTTCTTCCTTGCCGGCGTCGCAATTACAGGGGCCGCAAGTTGAGCTGGCACCAATAATTCACCCGAATCTTCTGCCACCGCAGCTGGCACAAAGAGCTGGCTTGCAGCGCCTTCAATTCCCATTTTCTCCCTCGGTTCTTCATTTGAAAACCTCGCACTCTCTCCCTCAAACAATGTCTCTCCTGGTCCAGCAACGGGTTCACTTAAGGGAGCTGGCAATCTATGCAATGCTCCATATCCCAAGGTACAACCCAGCGCCCCATCTCCGCCCCAGTCTCTGCTCGGATGGATAGTAACTTCCCTTGTAACGTTATACTCATTGTTATAAACGTAAATTCGTAACGGTCGTCCAATGTGATCCTCGACCAGCTCACCCAAACCACTCTCTCCGTGTAAGACCCCCTCGGGTGTACCGAGAATATAATCGCTGTAGGGAAGGAGACCTGCGAGGTCGGCTGGACAGTTGGCAGGTACGTCTAGAATATGCCATATGTTTGAAACGGTAGAAAGGGAGGTCCATTGAAGAGTCAGGCCTAGAGATAGAGTATCAGAAGGTACAGGAATGTGAATAGTTCGTGTGCGTTGGCCCTGGAACTGTTAGTTGCTCGAACAAACGAGCTGCAGGAGAAGATATACCTTTGCACTCCAAAGACCAAGAGTCACTGTACTTCCAGCACAATTACGTACTTCTTGCGCAAAGAGATTTGCGTCCGAGTCGTCCTAAAACTGATCAGCTACGCCAATGGTATAGAACAATGAGTGCCCACGATCATGCGTCCATTGATTCCTACTATAAAATCAAACCAAGGCTCGACGGCCAGTTCTGAAGTCTTATTCCTCAGGACTTGAAATCCGAATGCGCCATAATTGTCACGATTTTGATGGACGGGAGAGTCCGAATCTAGTCGTGAAATAAACCGATTAAGAGCGTTAAACATGTCGATTTAGTAAAAGCCCTCGAATTGTTATAGATTGAAGCTCTGAAGATATTCAGTCAACTTATTTGAGACGTGTTGTTCTCGAAGTGCGACCCTTGCGACCCTTGCTTTCATCAGCCTCGTGGCTATGGCCCGAGCTTCTCAAGTAATTCCTTGTTTGCATGTGGAAGGCTACCATTGTAACATAACGAATTTCAACATTTTTTTGTTACTTCACTTTGGTGGATTTCCTAACAGGAGGCAAGTGAGGTGAGTGTTATGGTACCCGCCGAATGTATGTCGATTCTGGTATACTCGAAGTATTGATTCAAGTATGATAAGGAGACTGACCTTATCTAGATTGTACCTGAGCTACTCGAGTATTTATTCTTTACGTTTTCTCCACCTTGGTTCAGCAAGGCTGCACTCAAAGACTTGGCGGTAAAGTGGAGAAGGAAGAAGCTCAGCTTCGTATGAGAGATAGAGGAACTTCATTTTTGGAAGAAGAAATACAAGATTTAATCACGTCGGCTGGAAGCGATCGTCTAAGCCTTGAATCTTCTGGGAGTACTTTTTCCCCAAGTGTACGGAGACGGCAACAGAAAGAGAAGAATCGACAATCTTCAAAGAATCAATCACCTACACCAGCATTACTTGCAATAAGTCCTCCTAAGGCATCAGTTGTCACTTCAAATTCTGAAAGACTTTCTCAAGTGATCATCAGACAAGCATCTGCTGTTGTCTCATCGAGCAACGCGGCGGTACCTTCTGAAGTTGATTGTAGAGAGGAAGCAATATCGTCGCCTTCGTTTACAAAACCGACTGCCACGAACTCTAGTTCAAGACTTATTCGGTCAGGCAGTGTCTTTCAAGAAGTCAAACACGTCTCTCGGCCTAGAACTCGGCCAGGTTATGTACCAAAGTCGCGAGGTTTAAATAGCAAGCGTTTGGATACCGGTCTTGATTCAAGCAAGAGATCTATTGCACGCGAGAGACCCACAGAGTCACATCGATCAGATACTGTCAAATCACCAATTTCGAAACTTCGTTCCCGTCAGGGTGAAATCTTGACTTCCGTTTCTGCGTTCAAGAATTGGATTCACTCTACTTTCTCTGATCAAACGATAGTGCGTCATTTGCTGGCAATATTGCAGGCAATTCGGCGTTAGTAGTAGACAGCAGGCGAATCTTACTATTGTGAAGGCGTTATTGGAGAGTGCGAGAGCGTTAGTGAGTACACCAATCTGCACAGGCACTCTCAACTTAGGCATATTGAAACTAAGTATAGCTCTATGAACACAGTCTACAAGAAGTATCAAAGCAAAGGTTTCGTCCGAGAAGCCTTCCAAAATGACCATCAATGGCGGCAATTATGGACATGACGTCACGGTAGATCATGAAGAGAATCAAGAAGACCCAGTACAATTTGATCTAGATGATAAGTGCACACATTATACTAATTTGAAAGAAGTACCTTGGGATTTACATAAGTAAGTTTGTATATCATGATGCATTACTTCATTCGACTGACACTTATTAGATACTGGCAACAGCGTTATAGCATGTTTTCTCTCTATGATTACGGTATCTACATGACAGATGACGCTTGGTTCGGTGTTACTCCTGAACCAGTTGCTACGTAAATCATCTCTCATTATATGCGTGTCCGTCTGTATTTCTAACTACTCGTAGGCAAATCGCTCAGGACTATGCCTCGTCTACACCCCCCACAAAAACAACTATAATCGATATATTCGCCGGCGCGGGTGGTAACTCTATCGCATTCGCCCTCTCTAATCGTTGGGCCCATGTCATAGCCATTGAGAAAGATCCGTCGGTTATCGCCTGCGCCGAAAATAATGCCTACGTCTATGGTATCACAAACCAGATAACTTGGGTTAACGGTGACTGTTTCGAATACCTCAAGACTCACGCTTCTTCTATCAATCCCTCAGAAACTGTTATTTTCGCATCTCCGCCCTGGGGAGGTCCTGGCTATACCACAGAAAACATATTTGATTTAAGTACCATGCAACCGTATTCTGCACAGTATATTCACGAAGCATGTAAGACAATGGATACGGCTTTATACTTGCCACGAACCAGCGATCTCAAACAAATTACTAGATTATTGCCAGAGGGAAAAAAGGTTGAGCTAGTGCAGTATTGCATGGAGGGAGCCAGTAAGGCGCTTGTGGCGTATATTCCAGCCATCGAATGAGTACGGTTTGATCAGGTTGACTGGGGAGATCCGGGTGTATCGGCAGCTTGAGAAGCCTTGATGCGTTGAAGCCTTGAAGCCTAGGAGTTGAGAGCTAAGGGCTGCAGCATGCCATTCCGTTCATGTGGGGGATGAATTATTGAGAAGTTTTTTTGCACATCGCCATTTAATTCCTCAGGCAAATGGTCGGAGAAAGATTTGCTACATGAGCTGTAGAAAGTGGCTCATAATATCACAGTATACACTATGAAATGCAGACAATTAATAGATGTTTAAAATAAGTTGAACAGTCTAGAAAAAGGCAAATTGTACATTACATCAAATAACCTCCATCTTCAAAATTACACGCTGTACATCTCCAAAGTCTCATCTAACCAATGTCCGATCACTTCTCACCGTCCTTGAATTTCGTAGCCCCTGCTGTAGCCGGTCCTGCAACACCTCCAACACTGCCCTTTCTTCATACTCCAACGATAGCCAATCTGGCACCACAATGCGATGCCTATCAATTTTAATCGTTCCAGCTTCCTGGGCGTGCTGATGATCGGTTTGTTGTTCCGTCCCACTATTACTTGCGGAAGTTTTCTCCGTATCTTCTTCTTCTCCTTCGACCTGAACACTGAGACTCCGCGCCGTCCACCAATAGGCCGGAAATGTCCTCTGGATATTATTCACCACGCAAGCTGTCGCGATCAGGAGAACACTTCCTAATACAACTAAAGGTATTAAATACCATCCTATCTCCGTAATCTCAGGTGATGTCGCGGCTAATAATGCAGTGGCGCCAGCAGGTGGGTGTATCGTGTTAGTCATGCCCATGACCGCAGAAGCCAAACCGACGGAAAGAGCACCTGCCAGCCAACGAAGATTTTCAAAATTGGCATTGAGCTCGAATAATTTGGTAATGGCGACTCCGATGATAGACGCGAATAGTTGGCCCAGGATGGCATTTCGTGGCTGGGAGAGTGGTGAATCGATGGTGTTATATTCTAGGATTGCGGCGGCGCCCTATTTTATCATCATTATTATTATTATCATTATTAGACATTAGACATTAGACATTAGAGGTCCCATCGACTGGTGGGTGCGGAATTGGATCTTCAGTTAGGTACATACAAGACTTGCGATGACCAACGGTGAGCCTCGCTCTTTAAAATATGCAGTTCGATAGACATTTTCGACAATGGCAATGCCGCAAAAGGCTCCAATGAATGCCCAGAACCAAATCACAACACTGCCGGTTCGAGACCGGGGCTGGCTGCGATATCCAAGGAACCTCGAAATAGATGTTGGGAGTATGTATAGTCTAGGAGCTGGTATATATCGATTGAGGTAGTGATCTATATCGAAATCTAATGAGGACATGGGGTCATAATAACTTTGAGCCAAAGAATGGAAGGAACTCTGCCTGCAGTTGCAGTTGCAGACTAAAAATTGAAAGGAGGATGAAAAATGGGGAATATTTAAATCTAATCTAAATAAATCTTAAGAAATTTGTTTGATAATTTACTGTATTTGTATTGTATTGTGTTGTATTGTATATCAAAAAATCCGAACCTAACCTTACAAACCAAACAGTAAAAGAGAAATCAGGTACAAAGTACTAATTAAATAGTAGTAGGTATAACCGCAAAGAGTCATACCGGTATAGAAAAAGGTCAAACAAAGTAAAATGATTCATTCACTCACTCTCACCTAATGAATGACATAAGGAAAATCCAAAATCCAAAAATTTAAACATCTCCGGTGAATGTAAGACTACATACATGTATACACAGACGTATGAGGTATAAAATTAACAGAAGGAGAAACTGGAGTTGCGGAATCTGGGGTAGAGCTGGCTGGTAGAGAGCTAGACGGGAAGGGATGAAGGGATGGGAAGGGAAGGGGGCTGTTTGTGTTACCGGTGTTTGTGTTACTGATGTTTGTGTTACTGATGTTTGTGTTACCGGTGCCGCGTAACCAGGTTATGGTGGATGCTGTGATACCATACCATACCTACTGATGATGACTTATTTGTCCTATGTGGAAGCGTGGGATCTCCATGGCGCCATTTGCGTATTGGTGATGGCTTAATTAGATACCGATACCGAGTTTGCGTGGGGGAAATGTGGAAATGTATTTGGGTTTCAAAAAGGAGACACCATGACACATAGAAATTGAAAGCCCCCGGTGACGTGACGCGTTATTGGCTTTGTTCATCGATCCGGAGTTTGGTTTAGACTCGGACGAAAGAAATTTTGGGATGTTTTTTTGCGTGGTTTTTACTGTAGAGTAGGTATGTACAGTACTGTAATTAATTCATTTTGAGTGATTTAATTAATTAATGGATATAAACCCATTTCTGAATACTGCCACTGCCACTGGTAGAGTGCAAATCTCTTTGTTTATAAGGGACGGGAATCAAATTCATTTGCATAAAATGATGTACTTGTAGATCGTTTCAACGACTCAACTCTGGTGTAAAAGGTTGGAATGTATTTGGAAGATTCATGTCAATTTGAGATATTCATATTCAAATCATATTAACTCCGGATAGATTGCTGTATATGTACAGGACTTGTACTGGTATTTCTACTCTAATTGCCCGGATTTTCTGGTATCTACTCGAGTAGTATTCGTATATTATAAGGCTGATTTGTACTCTTTTTTTTTTCGGTCAAGGGCAAGGGCAAGATTAAATCACAATCAATACCGGTCGGTACCTTTGCAACCCTTGGGATAGTAGTTTGATTCGGTTTTGGTATAGATAACTTATAGGAGTAGTGCTCTATCATATTGGATCCTAATACCTCGATCAAGTTGAGCTTGATATGAAAATTACTCCGATCATTCATTCAATTGCTGAGTATCAAATAGCAACCAGTACCTACCTGTATTCCCTTTCACAGATTATATTTGAGTCTCATTCCACGTCGTAAGATTTTAATAGGAAAGTCGCCCTATAATAATCCAATCTTACGTGTAGAATATCATTTCGTGCGGAACTACGCATCGCCTTCAAAGTTCAATCTGAGCTAGGCGCTCATCCATGATATGAATATGTCCATTCGTGTTGCCTTTTGCTCACAGATGGTACTTTTAGACAGGTCATCGTCGTAGTAAGTTAGAAGTTCAAGACTTGTCTATATACATATGATAGCTAAGTAATAAATAACTTTCACTAAGACACTATCCCTCACACCCGTAGCTAAGTATAGCTTAATTCATTGCTTCGATTCATATACAGTATTATATATACAGCATATACAGCACCTCTCAGTTCATCTTCATGACTATGATCTGAGTTTCATGTGATAAATTAGTTACTCGAACTAGCTTCTCGTATATCACCACCACAAATCCATCCCATCAACACCCATTACATCACCCTTCACCCTTCATCAAACTATATACTCGTACTTTCACACACCTTTCAATTTCACTCCTCACCAATATGTACACCCTCTATCCATCAACACCTTCATTCTATCTACTCCGTATCAAAAGAGAACGTTTCCCTAAATACCACTGTCTATATCAGCATAGAGATAAGGTGTAGAGATGTCAATCTTGGGTTGTAAACCACACGATTTTTCCTTCTGATACACTATTACTAATATCTATATTAAATAATATCATAATGTAAAGCATAGTATAGCATAGCATCCAACAACTCTCCGCCATCTCCCAAATATTCATCCAGTAACACCAGTAACACCAATATCATAACATCATATCACACCAAACACCTAACCATCAAACCAAAGTCTATCCTATCCCATCCTATCCCATCAGATACAAATCTCTCAATTCCTACTTACTTACCTACCTACCTACCTACCTACCAAACAACCTATTGAATCTTCAATCACCGTCTCAATCACCATCCCAATCACAGCAATATCAAACCAACATCTTCAACATCTCCAACATCCCCACAAAGAACATCTCACCATAACCCTCGAATACTCAAATACCTGAATACTCTCGGAACAAATCATATTCATATTACTCATACTCAGTACACAACCAAGACAATGAACCGTACTAAGTGAAGGGTAGGGATGAATAAGTTTATAAAAATAGATATAAAAATAAATATACTGGCCGGTACTTCGTTGGTTTTGGGACTGGAGTTGAAGCGATGTGAAGCGATGTGAAGTGAAGTGAGGTGTATTGAAGTGAAGTGTATTGAGTGAGTGATACTATAGTATATATGTATGTATGTATGAATATATTTTCAAAGATTACACGGTCGGTTTGCGGACTTTGTTGCTAATCCTAACACTAACACTAACACTAACACTAACACTAACACTAACACTAACACTAATACTAATACTAATACTAAACCTAACACCAATACCCATAAAATAAAATAAAATGTAGATTCGGGAGCAGGGAGTAAGGAGTAAGAAAGCGAAAGTTCCATACTAGCTAGGTGCAAGTGCAAGTACAGTTGCATTTACCTGCCTTGATACTCGAATTAGTTCATCTGATAAGATTAGGTGATCATAGGAGCTATTCCTACAGGCAGGCAACATGGAGGATCTATTAGAATTAGGTAGGTGGGTGTGGTGGTCGGGTGGGTGATCTTTCCGCACGCATATGCATTGATTGCATGTTATGGGATCTTTGTGCCAAGGATTTCTTTCGTGTATATTTCCCTTCAAGTTCGTCTTTATTTACCCGTTTAGTTTAGTTTACACTCCGAAATAGGGGGATGGAATTGTTGGTTTTGGTAGCTGGTACGAGCTAGTATGGAGTATGGTATGTGTATTGATCCTATGTATCCAGAGAAGTATCTAGCTGGGCGTGATATCTATTGATATCCTCCCGCCTATCCCCACCCCAAAAAATAATCACACAACTCAATCTCCTACCCTCACTATCCCACAAGCTCTTGCATGGAATAATACCTCTACCTTCCCATGTTTCTGTCAGCAGCTTATTCATATCTAAAAGCGACGTATCCACGTAAACCAAGTGAAGGAGTCCACGTCCATTGTGGTTTTCTTTGAAATCATCTGATGAAGGAGCGCTGTTGTGGGGGAAGGTAAGGATGTTATGGCGCGTTGTGGGACTTGTGAGTGAATGGAGACGGTGCTCGTGTATTGGTGTGTTTGATACCTATTATGATAATTGTTAGTTGTCGTGACTTTAGAGTTAGAGGGGGAAATGTAGCGGATAGATTGAGGGACAAACATTGATGGGGCCGTCACATATTCCTAAATGCGCATGCCATTCAACTTCGCTTCCTCGCGGTAAAGAATCTACTTCTGCAGTCCAGAATGGCGGGATCGTGAGAGTGTCTGTTTGTAGAATGGTGTAGTCGGGATAGGCAGTACTGGTGTTGTTTCCATTTGACAAGGAGGCTGTGTTAGAGTAGCGAAATCTTTCCTCCCATAGATCGCGAGGTTCGTCGTCGTCGGAATCAAGAGTTTGGGGAGTATGGATTTGTTTCCATGCTTGGTAAGCGATTCTGGACCGAGTGGATGGGGAATATTGGTCAGTGGTATGGTGAGATGGGATGTAGATGCAAGCGCTCGAGAACCATTTGATTGATGTGACGTCTGCGATACGAAGAAGATATTGGAGAGAGAGAACTGTGGAGATGTGGAAGGTGGGTGATGGTAGTGTTGAGGAGGGGGGTGATGGCGTGGGAAGAAGCATGGTGTGGGGAATGAGGGGGATTTGTCCAGCGATGGTGAGACTTTGGGAGGATGAGAGCGAGGAGGGGAGGGAACTGGCTTGTGAGTAAGGTCCAATGTTGGCAGGAGCCCAATAGGAACGTGATTGTACGTGTGGAGCTTTGCGGGGTGGTAAGGTAGCTGATGGGATGTGGAGTGTAAGATGGATTAGGAGGGATATGTTCAGGGGCATTGAGGCGCCGCAGGAGATAGTTACGCGGGATGGGGGATTGGGATGCGGGAAGAGTGTGCCGTAGATCTAGAGATGCATTAGAAATATGTTTCAATATATAAGCTACCAAGCTTGGGATCGAGAGTACCTTGTTGATTGTTGTGAAGTCTTCCATTGAACGTAGTATAATCATGGTAGAGACAATGTTGGTGGTTGAAAGTGATGCCTCATTAAGTCGCAACCTTATGGTTTCCACAACATCCTCAGCTTCTTCTGATATTAATACACAAGATGCATTTTCCGGTGCAACTGTCCAGTGCAGCATATTGCTATCTTCGACGTCCTTAATTTTAGGGGATTGCAGCTCCCATGCCGTCGATGCCGATGTTTCGTCGTTCGTCATGCTTGATGTAGAAGGGTCGTAGGAATATTCGTTTTTTTCCAGTGCTGATAGGATATCCGAAGACCTTTGATCGAGAAATTCTGGTACTCGACAGGATTTCTCTTCGTTCCCATTGATTTCTTTATCCATCAAGCACGCATCACTTATTTGTATCCAAGCAGATCCTCCACCTTCCCTCACAATCCTCGTGTCTTTTGTCTCAACGACTATTCTCTTTTTAAACAGCCAGCTTGGCCCATCCACAACTAGAGTCTCAAATTCTCCACCCTCGCCCAATACAGCTCCGTCGCCATCAATACTAAATCTTTGCATGGCTCTTTCCACCCTCCGCATTCCCTTCTCACTAGCAACATTTTCCCACAAAAAGCTCTCATCAAGCCCACCACTCGCTACCTTGATAATCCTCGCATCTAACCCTACAGCTTGCATGTCTTGTAGGAGAGAAATTTGCATACCAGGTGGAAGGATCGGGTACTGCCACAAAAACGAAAGAGGAATAAGTCCCAATCGTAATGCTACGGATTCCACGCGCGTTCGTTGATAAGTAGAGAGTATTGCACCTGTGCTAAGGGCATTCGCCTCAGGGTGGGCAACTAGTATCCTCTTCAATAAAGGAATAAGTGATTCTGTCTCATCCTCATTCGCGTCGCTCTCCTTTTCAATCGGTTCCTGGGCCCCAGAACTCGTAATATTCGCATGACTATAGCTTGTCCCCGTCTGGACAGCATTGCCAATAATAGCCTGACGATATAGCGGAATACCTAGAGCCTCTTCGTATAATGGTATGACGGTATGCCCTACAGTCTGATACATGAAACTATTGAGATCATGTTCATCCTTGGCAATGCTATTGCTCCCTATTGGTTGAGGCTTAGTGAGGGGTGGATGAAGATTTCCTAATGCGATGACTTTGTGTCCATTATGAATGCAATGTATGATCGAAAAGAAACTGTCTTTTCCACCTGATACTAAGGCAATCACGTTGAGAGACTCGGACATGATTACTTTTTAGGTCGGTAATGTTGATGATGCAAATTTTGCTCATAAGAATATTTGTTAGCGAAGGGGCTTAATGTGCATGCGGCACACACAGTCATTCTTTTAAAAGGGGAAGTATGTGTTAAACGATATATTGATAAGCATTCGAATTTCACTCATGACATGTATGCGATTAAGAACTTCTGGCCCACGAGTGGAAGCGGGAGGTATAGATTAATGCCTCAGGCCATGCTAAATATGGAAGCTCCAATGCAAGTCTGCTCCAGAGCTGGCGATCACAATCATCATTTTTAGTCACAATATCATGATGAGAGAAGTTTTTTATGTTTGTGATGTGTATTGTATTTGTAGTCTGCTGGTATATCTCAACATCTGGCCAGCACAAGGCAAGACCCAATAGCTACGCAAATGATCCGAAGAGAAAATCGCAAGGTGAAAGATCAGAGACGGTCTCCCGTTTTCCATCCACAGCTCCCCTGATAGTTATTACAATGAATGTAAGAAAAAAGTCCGCTCATCAAAGTACACGGTTCGAAAGGTTGCCCCACCTAGACCATCCATCATCACGCTAAAACGACAAGAGATACAAAGTTGAAAAAGAAAAGTAAAGTACAAGAATGGTGAGAAGTTCGTCTGCTAATAGCAGCACATACACATGACAATGACTTTTGTGTTTCACGCAATCCTCCCAAATCATCATGACAGCGTCAATGTATCCTTTATCCCTAACGACCAGCCACATAACGAGTACAGTGGAGGCCCCAATATGAAGTGTTGTATGCGTATTTTTTGTGTTCGTAAGATTCGTAAATGGCGTACTCCAGCCCACCAAGTATTCGTACACCAGTCTTTACTCTGATCTCTTGCGCTTCTTGCAGGATTGGCTCTCGGAATCACTTTCGGTACCACTGCTCTCACTGCCAGAGGCGCCGGCGGCGGCGGTAAAGAGAGCATCGCCAAGGGCCCTTATTTGAATTCCCTCACTGCCCGATTCCATGTCACTAGGAACCTCGCCATCTTCCAAAACACCCATCACGATGGCACCACTTCCGTGAGTACGTGAATGCTGTGATAAATTATCGCTGCGGGAGAACTTCTTGCCGCACTCGTGGCATTCAAATGGCTTCTCCTGGGTATGGAGGGATCTGTAATGGCGTTTCAAATGTTCTTGTCTGCGGAAACGTCTATTGCAAAGTTCACATACGAAGGTTTTGGAAGGATCTTCAGTCAATGATTGTTTGCGACCGCGGCGATTGACCGGTGCTTGATGAGCGTTACCAGCGTCTGATCCTGATGAACCCATGATGTTATTGCTTTCTGAAGAACCGGATTGGCTTGGGGCGGTGGGTGCTTGTTGATGATCGGCAGAAGTCTCTTGTGGCTGAGCGCCCGATAAATTATTCATGGGTACAGTGAATTTTCGAGATCGGACCATGGAATCAAACTCCGAGCTGTCTTCGTCACAATGAGTGATCTTGGGTTTTTTGGTACGCTTCTCCTTTTTGGGTTCAGCTTCGGAGCCAGAGGCTGGTGGACTCGGCAGGCACGCGACCGCAAAACTCTCGGTCTCTAGATCCTCAAAATCTTCAAAATCGTCCTCACTGATAAATGTCTCTGGCTCAGGGGAAACGAGATCAGATGCAGTTCGTTGTCTTTTATTACCACCAAAGAATTGGACGTTATCTGTGGAAGGGAAGTTTACAAGACCATTGACAAATTCGTCTTCGGAATCAAGATCCGAAATATGATCAAAAGTAGGGAGGCCGTGGTTGGATGTGGTGATGGTGGTGAAATTGAAGGTATTCGCACGTGTTTCGATTTTGCCGAATGAGTTACTACCCCCTAACATGTACTGATGATGTTCTTCGTCTTCCGAGCAGAGTGTGGGGAGAGTAGAAAATTCACGAGTCGAAGTCAAACTTGGATTGGATGTAGGAGGTAAAATTGCGGATCCAACTGTTAAATTTCTGGGATCACAAAAGTCGAAATCGGATTGTTCTGAAGTGACGGATCGTGGATAAGGGGAAGGTGAAGGTGAAAGCGAAGGGCAAGAAGTGGCAGACAGGAGTTCATTAGCGTGAAAGCTAAGCGAGGTTGGGTGGATGAAGACTAAAAATTGGTAGCCTCGTCAGTAAATTTATTCAATGAGAGGATGAGAGGATGGAAATGTGAAGAAATGTGAAGAAATGTAAGAATCAAATGCCACAAATGATTACACAATTTGTGTGTGGACATTCGGTTGTCTTTTGATCCCAAATTTCATTGACATTGTTTTCCCAATTCAAAAGCTGGTAAGAAAGAAAGAAAGAAAGAAAGAAAGAAAGAAAGTGTAATCAATGATTGATAACGTACCTGGTGTCATAGGTGGGGAACCACAACGAGCCCATTCACCAGCAAGATTCTCCGATTGAACTTCACCTTCACATCCTTCCTTAACACCTTCGAAACTCTCAGCACCGAAAAACACACTGGTTACTGGCGTGGGTAAGATATCACAGCTTGATGGACTGCTCATGACACTTCCAGATGCTGAAAGAGGTGGGGTTGCAGGATAATAATACATGTCATGTTCGTTTTCCGAATCCAAGATGAGCCTTGGAGAATGGTCTTGGATCAAGATGGTGGGCTTTTGGTACATTGGTCGTGGAGAGGCCATTGGTGTCATGTTTCCAAGGTATCCGGAGTTAAAGATCTTCTGCTGCATTGGATGCTGCATAGGATGCTGTGAGGAAGACGAGTTTGGCCTAGAGTACATTGGTGATGAGGGCATTGTTTGAGCATGCTGATGATACATAGGCATTGGCATATGGCTTGGTTGTTGAGAGAAGTGACCATGTTGACGGTTGTCCGATTTTGCGTCTGGGTTGTAGTAGAAGAATGGGGATTGCCCCATTGCTTGTGCGTAAGAGTCCATAATGGTTATCCCTTGGGTTCTCGGCTGGTCTGCAAAACGTCAGTTGCATTCCTCGGACCGTTCCATTAAACTGCACAACATACCGATAATTCTATATTAACGCTTAAGATTCTGGTTGGATTTGTTTGGCAGATTATAGTACGGCTTGAAAGGTACTTTGTTGGCAGACCACGTTGGTCAAGATGTCGATGCTGAATCAAGTAATACAAGGCTTCGCAGGTAAAGAAGGACAAACAACAGCTGCAGAGAGATCTGTCTAATAATGGTAATGTTGGAGGAACTGATTATACATAGGCTCGTCAAGTGTAGGAAGGATTGATATCGACACAATGGTTCAGTAGTTGAGGATGGTAGATTATCGAGGATTGGATGTCGATGAGTTCGAGATAAAAGAACAAGAGCAATAGCAGGATGCCAAAGGAAGGTACAGAAGAAGTTCGAGGAGGCTTATGATATGAAAAGCACAAAGTCGAAGATGATCCAAAAAGATTGAGTTACAAAAAGGAAAGCGTTAGTCGGTATAAGAAGAATATGGTAGCGATGAGGAAACCTGGACAAGATGAACAGACGAAGGTAGTGACGGGGACCCTGCAAATAAAGTAAAGATCTCGAAAGATCAACGAGAGTGATAGAGGGTAAGATAGGCAGTGCGACCGAAAGGCCAAGTCTCAGGCGAAAGCATGGGAAACGGGTGGGCCAGGAACAAGAAAGCAATGAGTGGGTGAGAGTGAGTGGATATGGTGAGTCGGCGTCCAGGACCCTGTCTGGGGGAACCGGCAGCGATTGAGATGGGATGGACGAATAAGTATAGTCTGATGGAGTAATAAGGGAATTTCTAAATCTAGTGCAGTTGTGGATTCGGAATCCTAGTATTTTCGTGTTCGACGCTATTGCGCATTGAGAAAGTTGTGATGATTCTCCGGGAAGTAGTTTTTGATTTACTGGACTAATACACGAATTTTGGTGGGATTTGTGGACATGGGGTGGATTTATTTTGGTGATTCTGGTGGTACTCGTACTGAAGTCTGGCTGGTACACTATGCCAGGTATGAATGAAGTGGAGAAGAAGTAGAATCAGAGATATATTACCAGACATGGGGAGTGTGAAATACATACTAGCTAGGGACCTTGTACAATGAATGTACAGGCAGTTTATTGAAAGGTTGGCCATGGACAACTGGACAGAGACTCAGAGAGAGAGAGGCGGTCATGAAAATACCTAAGTCAAAAAGGTCTACTCGCCAATAATGACCAATGACTAATGATCATTTTACCTATTATTGACTTGAGCTATTCATCAAATGAATCATCAAGCCACTTTCATTAATATAAATGTACCTAATTATGATTATCTATTCTATCTTTTCTTTCCTGTGTCTTTCCTTTCCTTTCCCGATATCAAAAGCGGCGAGATGTAATGAGAGACGCACGACCGAAGAGCATTGTGCATGCATAAGCCCGATAATAGTAATAGTAATAGTAATAGTGGGAGGGAGTGGTATCATAGCATTACCTTACGATATAATACAACCAGAAACGGGGTCAGGATCTTTTTGGCTTTTGAACAAGAAGAGGCTTTGTGTGGCTTTTAATAAGTATAGAGATGGGAAAGTCAGAGTTATAATTTACGAAATTTTGAGGAAACTTACGAGTTATAGATTATAGGTAGCTCTGTTTGAAGTCGAATACTTGTGTTACTACTCACTATCGCCTTCTCATTCGTTTACCATTTATGTGTTTCTGAAGTCGTACAATAACGTTTGGTATACAGTATATGTAACAGTATATGTAACAATATATATACTATAGAAGTTATAGTACAATATATACAAGCACTTCCATTACATTTTTGCTAATGTCAACTAATAATATAAACTTCAGCTCGACTAGTCGTATTTAACTACCGGTAACTGTACTTGTACCTATCAGGGTAAAACAACATACAAGTACGGTACGATACGGTAGATGGATTTCAATGATTCGTGCCAGTCAAAAACATGAGTTATAATTGCCTGAACCATATAAAAAAACGATAGACATATCCAAATGCATCCATTCAAGAATTCAACACACAGATGATTTTGAGATGATTTTCCTCATTACGATTCGTGAGATGGAAAATAGAGACAAGTTTAGACATTATCTTACGATTGGTCTTGATAACATTTGCCTGATGGTCACACCCACACAAGTCGTATGCCATTGATGACTTTGACTTTGACTTTGACATCTAAATAACCATAACCATACCTACACAGCCCGCACCTTACCTCAGCCCGACACCGATATATCATACAATACAATAATGCCTACTCGAGTATAGAATCCTGCGATTGGAGTGATCGGATCGATTGAGTGATTGAAGTTAACAGACCCCCCATCTAATGCTTTAGTAAAGTTGCTTCTCCATTCATTCGGGATGCGCTTCCAACTTCAAGAGCAAGAAATCTGAATCCAAAGCCAAAAATATCTATCAGGCCTAGAAGAACTTTTCGATACTGTTTGAGATGTTTTGAAGCGAGATGCGAAACACATTAATGAATAAATAGCCATTCACATCACAAAGCACACCTCCAATATGCAGAAAGAGACACTTTTTAGGATATGTGTGATACATACTGCGCTACCCAACAACTTTCTTTTGCTGTCATGTTGCGTAGTCTGATTTGGCCAACGTCTCCAGCCCATTGAAATCCTTCCTTCTAGTCTCGGCGGCGTGGTTCTTAACCTATCATATCTCGGTATATACATTTTTCTTCTATAACTCATTTCCAGGTGCAAAAAAGATCTTACGCAGCTTACAAGTTGTTCCCATCGAGTAGGAATTCGCCCACCCGAGGTAACCTACCTTAGACCTTAGATGACAGCGTATGCATCTCCAATATGCATCCATCCTTCCTTCCTACCCATGACCCTCCAGATCAAAATTTTCCATTCATCATCTATCCTATCGATAGATGATCCTTGGGTTCAGCCCTTCCCTCCTTCAGCTTCCTCTAAGCCTGAGAGCACTTTGCCCCGCGTCTACTGCAAATGTGGGGGAGAAGAAAAAGATGAAACAGCCTACTCTCTTCTCTTCTTGCTTTCGGCAGTAAGGTAAGGTTGTCAAACAAGTCTCCCCGCCTCCCGTGAGATATATCATAAAACCGAATCAACAAATCACCATTCCGAGATCTTTTACTGGACATTGAAAACACTGTCTCTCATATGAACACGGCCCAAGAAAGTCAAATATACGACCTACGTGACCGGCCACGCCAAAGTACTGTAGATTCTTAGACGCCGGCGTTTGAGATGGTGATCGATCGTCACCCCGAACGATTAGGCCGCGTATTGGGCTATCGGGCTGAACCTTGATTGAAAAACTTCTTTCCACACCATATATCTGATCTCATACGACCAAGCACTCATCACTTAATCGATAAGGTGATAAACATTAACGATAGGATAGGATGAAGCTATCTGTTCACCTAGCGCCCCAATGAAAAATGTTGGTTGCATAAAAATGAATGCGTATACTTTTCAATAATGCACGGCGTTTCGCCCAATTTTAACAGCCTGTCACTGATAAGTTTCTATCATCACAATAAACATACACACGCACATACACACACACAAACATACAACACAAGGTTCGAGGGTTCCAAATAAGGATACCTATCATATCATATGCAATACCCATACAGTAGGATGTATGCTTTGTTCCTGAGCAATATCCCCAAAAGAGTATGCATAAGGATGATTAGTGGCTATCATCATCAGTATCATTTTCCTGCTGGCATATTGCATGTTGCACAAAAGTGGTACTCTGCAGCATTACATATCATATCTATCCAATGCAAGTTGGTACGAGGTCGATCTAAACATAGAGATTAGAGCCCTTCTCTTCATTACAGCTTCCGGGGCGCGGAGAGAATAATTTTCCTTTTCTGGAATGGGATTATTTTATTATTCCCTTGCTGCTTTTTGTCGAATTGTGAACTTACTGATTTGGCCGAGGCTTGCATAATGGGGTGGTATTTGTGTATTGCTTTGTGCGGAATTCGTAACGAGTTTCTGACATGGATTTTCATAGCTTCGAATCCATAGAATCCATCTATCTCTCTTTTGAAGCCAAACTTCTTCGGTGGACTTCCAGAAGAAGTTGCGAAATGGAACCTTACTAGGGAGCCCTGAGCCCTGAGCCCTGAGAGTCCTAAAAAAAAAAAGTCCCTCACCTCGATCCAGCAAGTTCACGGCCGCGGTGAAAGAGTTGTAGGGGTTTTAAACTTCTGAGTGGGTGGTCATTTATTCTGATGGCTGTCCGTTTTCTTATCAGTCGGTCATGGAAGGTTTCCATATCCATACCCACACCCATTAATATTATTTCACCAATCGGGCAATGAATGGCCTCGTCACGTCCTCCCCCTCCCCCCTCCCCCCTCCCCATCAAAACCTGCTGATTGCTACTGCAGGAACAATGCAGGTACGAAAAATGCTTGACAATAATGATGAAAGTTTGGTACCTCGACCTCAACAATTGTTGCATATGCATGTATGAATACTGTACTTACCTTACTGATTCATTCTTGCATCGAAAAAAAAGCAGGAACAACATAAGTCTGTCAATCCAGAAAAAATTCCAGAGTCCGAGTCTTTCTGTCTGTCCTTACTTCATAGATAAGTCCCCTCCCGATTCTTCTCTCCCATCCCATTTTTGATTTATCGGTCTCATCTGAAGGTTCTTCGCTTGTTCCCGTGGTAAAAAGTATGGAGAGTGCAGTATTGCTATTATCAGCCAGACGGGCTAGTTCAGCGGGGGGTTCAATCTTAGAGCCCCAAACCCTAGCCGGTGGGCTGGCCTTTTTTCTTTGGTACAATTCAAATGATTCTCAATCTCGAATCTACAATGACCCACTCGCGGGTCTCGGGTCTTGAATTCCTGATGGCCCTCGTTCATTCAGTCTTGACCTTGACAGGATTTACTATTGAAAAGAGGGTAGGTCAAAGATTCACGATAC